CAGGCAGAGGGAACAGCACGTGCAAAAGCCCTGAGGTGGGCGCGTGCTGGCTCTCCAGAGAATGGCATGGAGGCCAGGCTTGCTGAATGAGAGAGAGAAAAAAGGGAGGTGATGCCAGAGGGAGGTGTGGAGTGCAAGTCGTGCAGGGCCTCAGGGCCACGTGAAGACTTTAGCTTTTGTACTAAGAAACATAGGGCGCTGGTTTTGAGCAGAAGAGTGACATGATCTGACCAAATGGGTCTGGTGCTGTGTGGAGAAAGGACAATAAGGGGACAGGGGCAGGAGCAGAGAAACTCATTAGGAGACAGTGCAGTAATCCAGGCAAATAAATTATCTATAAACACAATTTAAGTATCTCCAAGTAGTTCGCCCTACAAATGTACTATCATTCATTGAACTAATTCCTTATTGATGGGCATTTTGGTTATTTCCAGCTGTGTCTTTATTATAGAAAACACTCTGATGAACACCTTTGTACCATAAATCTTTGTGTCGGACACGTTTGCTGTCTGGGTGTTACTGGGTCATCTTTCTAAGGCTTTCTCTCCGTAATTCCAGTTGCCCTTAGAGAGAGGGTGCCACTTCCTACTGCCACCGGCAGTGTGTGATGTATCACATCTGCCCTGAATGTATATCATAGGTGTCCAAAGGGTGTTGCTCTGTCCTTGTGGTCCTGGCCAGGTCTGGATACACCTTAGGGGAAATCCCTCTTTCTTGACAGCATGGTTCCAAAGCCTTTTCGAGTCCATTTACTTATTTAATGCTCACAACAGTCGTGTTGCCCCTGCTCTGTAGGTCAGGAAACTAAAGCTCAAAGAATAATAATAAGGCCCTCTTCCAAGTGCTTTATGGGTATTACCTCATTTAACCCTTGCAACAACCCAGTGAGGTGGGTGCGATCAATATTCTCACTTCAGAGACGATGTCACTGGTCCAGGGTGTCAGAGCAGGGGTATAAGCCCTGTCTTGCAAACCACTCCTTGTCCCGCCTGTAGCTAGTAGAGTGACCTGCTTGTGGCTGCACAGGTAAACACGGTGGGCCAGGAACCTCCTGGCTCTGAAGCCCAAGTTCCGATAACCCCTGACAAGATGCTACTCAATGCCAGAAACCCCTCATTAGAGCTCTGCCTTTCTCCCAGTCAAAGCTGTTCTTGGTCCCTTGTGTCTGACTGGGGCTCCTTCCTTAAACCCACTCTTGGCGGCTCCTGGAGACCAGACTTTGGTAGAAGAGCTCAGATCCCAGAATGGAGAACATCCGAGCTGAGAGGGCCCTTGAGCTCCTGCTCCAGTATTCTTCCTTCTTTATACTGAACAGGAAGAAGGAAACTAAGGGCCAGAGTGGGGCAGTAACATGCGCAAGGTCACGCATCTGTCTAGTGGGAGGCAAAGTCCGTGGGGTGGGAGGTGACTGGCCCAAGGAGCAGGCTAGGACCTCCCCAAGGGTCCCTCTCCAGGGAATGTTTAAGAGCTGTGACTGTTACAGCTGCCTTCAAGAGTCCTTTGTTGATGAGCCTGTTTCCTTGTGAATTATTAATGAGACCAAGTACGGCTGGGTGAGACTCACTCACTTGAAGACAATCCTGTTTTACAGTCACCAGTTCTGCTGGAATGGGAGGCTCTGAAGTCCGAGGGCTCTGGGGCTTCTGGGCTGGTAGAGACAGCGGGGGTGGGGGCAAAGAGGTGGGGGATAAGGGCGCTTCATGCCAGGGAAAGCCCTGGAGGAAGGGACTGAGAAAAGGGAAGCATCACCCACATAGTGCTCAGCAAGCCTCACAGTATCCCGGAGAGGCTGGGACATTTTTGTCCCAGGTTTATAGATGCGGAGGCTGAGGTTCAGAGAGGAAGAGGCACAGCTTAAGCTCTTTCTGCAACAGTGGAATCACTTTTCACATGCTCACACCCCCATTCCTGGGGCCCCCATTTCCACACACTTTCTCTGCAAGATAAGTAGTCAAGACCTGAGTTTTTTCTATGACTAGGCCTGGGTCCAAGTCCCACCTGGTCCAAGCCTCCTATAGGATGGGAGATAAAGTTATTACAGAGCTTCCTGGAGCATTCTGAGGAGGTTTCACTAAACAAATGTTTATTGAGGGCCTTTTTAAGCCGAGAGATGGTAGATGTGAAAGCAGTCCCTGCGAGGGCCTCGGGGCCATCAAAAAGTGCGGTGGGCCCACTGGTTTGTTCTTGTGGGTCGGGGAGGAAATGAGGGGGGAAAGCAGGCCTCGTATCTCCCAGGCACAAAGCACCAGGAGACAGGTCCCCTGTCAGGGGAGGATGGGACCCAGGACTCAGGACACTCTCCTGGTCCCTACGGCCTGGCTGTCAGCCCGAGTTGGGGATGGGCAGGTGACCTGAGCAGTGTCACCTGGGTTGGGAGGTGGAAATAATGGTGACTTACAGGCTCCTTCCTCAGGGTTGGGACTGGGCCAGGGTTCCTGGGGGCTGGGAACTGCTGGGGCGGGGCCTTCCTGAGGGGTGGGCCACTCTGATGCTCTGACTCACCAGCTGAGTGGCTCTAGTATCACTGTCACTGTGCTGGTGTGAGGAGAGTTACAGCTCCAAAGGCAGCTTGGCTGCTCATCTTGCTCAGCCTCAGCTGTCACCTGTAACATGGGGAGAATAATGGCATCCTCCGTACCGCCCCTGCCGCCCTCATCAGTGTCCCTACACAGCACTGTGCCACATGCCGGCACGATTCTGCACGTGTTACATACATGAATCTTGATCCTCACAATACCCCTTTGTAGTGAGCAGTGTTATTATTTCCGTTTTACTGATGAGGTGACTGAGGCTCAGAGAGGTGGTTAAAAGTGAGCATTGAATGAGATACTCTTTGTTATACACTTAACATGTGTGACACGTAATAAGCCTTTGATGAACGTCCATCATTATAATCATTACGTCAGAGGGAAATGGTCAAGCGCTGGGCCCAACATTAGTGTTTAGTGATTCGTCAGACACTGACACAGACGTGACTGACAGACCTGAGTCTCCAGAAGCTCCCAGTCTGATGGCAGAGACAGTCACATACACACCTCACTTCACCACCATCACACACAGGCCATGTCAGCCCAGGGTGAGCAGGGTAGGTCAGAGGGGATTAGGGCCGCGTGTGCCCAGGAAGCCTCTGCACCAGCCAGGGCGGGAGGCCCTCCTGGAAGAGGTAGGTTCTGAACAGAAACCTACAGGGCAAGTAGGAGTTTTGGAATATGGCAGATTCTTAGTAAATGTTAATTGAATACAGTAAAGACTTAACTTGAAGTTAATGTAGTATAAAGAACCTCTCACTCACCTGGTCCCTCCTAAGGCTCTGGAGGAAACCTTTCCATTGTAAACTCCTGGATTGACTCATGGTTAAATGATTGAATAATAAGTGACACGGGAGGAAGGTATGTTCCAGGCAGAGGGAACAGCATGTGCAATTGCCTAGAGATCTGAAAGTGCATGGCATGTGATAGGGCCCCCCCCACCCCCGCCTCCCCCAGCCACATCGCCCAGGCCCCTGTTGACACACCAGTCGTCTCGCCAGTTTGGTAAACTCCAGCTGTCACCAGTGTGCCTTTGCCCACCGCCATGCCTTCATCCACGCTGTTCTCCCATCTGGTGCACCCTTTGCATGACTTCACTGCATATAAATAATCTAAACTTCAAGGGTCAGCTCTGTGCCCACCTTCTCCAGGAAGCCACCCAGACCCTGCCAGCCTATGAAGCACTTTCCCTTATCTGGATTTCTATAGCCGATGGTGAATGTCACCATAGCCTGCTCCTTGTAGTTAATTATCTTTCCGTGCCTGTGTCTGAGAATCCCAGAGGGGCGTGGAACCTTGCAACTGAGCATCTAGCCTCTGCTCACATCTGGGCAGGATAAGAACTCACCACTTTTGCAAATAGCCTCTTCAGATTTAAACAGCGCTCCCCTGAAACTCTCCCCTCTGCCACCAGACCCTATCTGCCTGGCTCTCCCTGGACCTAGTCCAAGCCCTCTCCCCACCACAGCTGCTTCTGCAAGCTCCTCCTTTTCCTCTTCTGACATCCTAGAGCTCAGGGCTGATCCACCGGTGCTAGAGTCCCTCCTCCTTCTGTCCCCAGCCTGAGCGAAGGGACAGCTCTAATGGCAGCCACGTGGTCTGATGAGTCATAGTTAAGAGCATCTGGGGCCTGGGGTTGGTGGCTGGTTAACTCCTCATGGGCCTGCAGTTCTTTCTGCCAGGAGACCAGGTGGGCTTCAGCCCTGGCCCTAGACACATAACTCAGAGCTGGGCACACAGTGAGCATCTGAGGAGGGTTATAGGTGACCCCCACACAGGCACTGGGGATTCAGGGGAGGAGCCAAGGGGGCAAGAGGCAAGAACCTGACCTTTGTAGTCCGGAGGGCTGGTTCTAATCACAACTTGCCATTTATTAGGTGAGTGGCCTTGAGCTAGTCACATCAACGCTGTGCCTCAGTTTCCCCATCTGTAAAATGGCAATTAGGGGGATTATTTGAGAAGGCAAGTGTGACCTGTTGGCTAGTACAGAGTGTTAAACCGCATTATTTTCTATCTTCTTGTGTCCTCATATACAGTCACCAGTGGGCATGTGGGTGGGCTTAAAATCCAAGCCTGATTCTGGAGGCCAGGACTTTCTCTCTGCATGAGTGCCCTGCGCCAATGAATGCAGTGGGATGGTGAAGGGCTCAGGCCCCAGCTCTGCGAGGCGGGAGCTGTGGAGGAGGGGAGAGTGGCAAGTCTAGGAGAACTTTCTGGCTCCAAATAGGTGGGGCTGTGTAAGGAAGGAGCGAACTCTCAGTCTCTGGGGGCTGCGCACAGAAGGTACCCAGACATGGGCCATGCGCGCCCGGGGCTCTCACCTGTCCGAACCGGGGGCGCGGGGATTGGGGGTGCGGGGGTGGGGGTGCAATATGCAGGCGTGTCGCGGCCACGGCCCCACTGCGCCGGTGGGCAGCCCGAGGCCGGGCCCGCCCGGCCCCGACGCCTTCCCCGCCCTCGGCGCGCCCCTCCCTGGCCGCCGCGTCCGTGGCTCCGCGGCACAGCGCCCGGCTGGGGTTCCGGCGGCAGCACCTGGGCCGCAGCTGGCGTCCGGCGGGGGCACGCTGCCTGCCCTCCTCCGCGATGACCACGGCCGGCGCCCCGAGCGCCCCGCCCGCCGGGTAAGTGCGCGGCGGGGATGTCTTGCGGGGCGCGGGCCGACCTGGGCCCGGGGCCCGGGGCGTGCGGCGGGCCCCGGGCCGGCCTCCCCCGCGCCACCTGCCCCGCGGCCCGCACTGCGGCTTCCAGCCCCTGCCAGGCGGCGCCGCGCTCCCCCGCTCCGTCCGCCTGTGGGTGCTGGTGCTGCCGCTGCCGGGAGGAGGGGGAGGGCGCTGCGGAAACTCGCGCTTGGAGACTGGAGGCGCGGGCGGTCCTGGGTCGTCACTCCGCTCTGGGTCCCAACTTTCGCATTCGTAGTAACAGGCCATTACTACATTCAAAGCCTCCTTCCTCTCCTAGTGGCCTTTACACCTGTGGGTGGACTCATTATCATCTCCATTACAGAGGAGGAAACTGAGGCACAGCTCTTAAGTAACTTGTTTTAGGTTACCCAAGAGGCGAGAGGTGAGTCTGGGGTTCGAACCCAGCTCGATGGATGCGAGAGCCCCCATCCGCAGGGCACGCTACCTCGTCTTCAGGGATATTTGGAGGAGTTAAAAGGCTAAGAAATGAACCAGCCAAGCCCATTGGGTGCAGCAGGAACCAGAGTAGTAACGGTGGGTGTTGTCACTTTCGTTGTGGCTCTTCGCCCACCCCACTGAGAAACCCTGTAGGACCTCTACTCTGCCCTCGGAGCAGTGGCAGCTACTAACTGCTGGGAGATAAGAAGCAGTTCAGCATTTCCTAGGCCCTAGTGGTGAGGGGCCCGCTGCTGGGAGCCTGGACTGCTGGCAGGTTGCTGGGTGGAGAACCGGCCCAGGTGAGCTGGGAGGGGCGCCACCCTGCCTGGGGCCTCACCACCAAGGACAATATTTGCCAAGGACCTCAGGGCTAACACACTAACAGGGAGGTGACAGGGCCGGTGCCAGCTGGCAGCTGGAATCCTGACCAGGGCCTGTGTGTGTGTGTTCCTTGCTGAGGACCTGGGAGTGGGGTGGCCGGGGGGCCCTCGGGACTGTGGGAGGGTTGACTGGTGAGTCTTGGCGATTTTCGTTGTATGAATTCGGTCAAGTCCTTTATCGTCCCTAGACTTCTTTCTCTTTCTTTTTTCCCTTCCTTCCTTTCTCCCACCTTCCCTCGTTCCCTTCCTGCCTTTCTTTCATTTTTGAAATTATTGGGGTGGTGTTGGTTAATGAAACTATATAGTTTTCAGGTGTAAATTCTATAATACATTACCTGTTTATTGTATTGTGTGTTCACCACCCCAAGTTAAGTCACCTTCCATCACCATTTATCCCCCCTTTACCCTCTCTTATCTCCCTGCACCCCACTTTGCCTCTGGTAATCACCATACTGTTTGTTGTCTATGAGGTTTTTGGGGTTTTTTTTTCTTAATTCCTTCACCCTTTTCACCCAGTTCCCCCAAGCCCCTCCCCTCTGACAGCTGTCAGTCTGTTCTCTATCTGTGAGTCTGTTTCTATTTTGTTTGTTAGTTTATTTTGTTCATTAGATTCCACGTATTAGTGAAATTGTATGGTCTTTGTCTTTCACTGACTAGCTTATTTCATTTAGCATAATACTTTCTAGGACTACACTACCCAAAGCAATTTATAATTTCAGTGTAATTTCTATCAAGAAACCAATGGCATATTTCACAGAACTAGAACAAATATACCAAAAATTTACATGGAAACACCAAAGACTTCAAATAACCATAACAATCTTGGAGGAATCACGCTGCCTGGTATCAAACTATACTACAAGGCCATAGTAATCAAAACAACATGGTACTGGCATAAAAACAGACATGTAGATCAATGGAGTGGAATAGAGATCCCAGAAATAAACCTACACCTTTATAGTCAATTAATACTTGACAGAGGAGGCAAGAATATACAATGGGGTAAAAATAGTCTACTCAACAAATGATGTTAGGAAAATCGGACAGATATCTGAAAAAAAAAAAGAAAGAAAGAAACTAGACCATGTTTTTTACACTATACACAAAAATAAAACTGAAAATGGATTAAAGACTTAAATGTTAATTTGAAACCATAAAAATCCTAGAAAAAAACATAGCCAGTAAAATCTCAGATGTTTCTTGTAGCAATATTTTGTAGTATATATCTCCTCAGGCAAGAGAAACAAAAGAAAAAAAGAAAAACAAATAGTACCACATCAAACTAAAAAGCTTTTGCACAGCAAAGGAAACCATCAACAAAATGATAAGAGACAATTCACTGAATGAGAGAACACATTTGCTGATGATATATCAGATAAAGGGTTAATATCTAAAATTTATTAAAAACTCATATAACTCAACACCAAAAAGATAAATAATCCAATCGAAAAATGGGTAAAGAATCTGAATAGAAATTGACAAATAGTGAAAGACAAAGACCATACAATTTCACTTCTCCAAAAAGGACATACAGATGGCCAATAGAGATATGAAAAGATGCTCAATGTCCCTAATCAACAGAGAAATGCAAATTAAAACCACAACGAGATATCACCTCACACCTGTCAGAATGGCTATCATCAATAAATCAGCAAACAACAAGTGCTGGCAAGGATGTGGCAAGAAAAAAGAATGCTTTTGCATTCTGTCGGTGAGAATGCAGACTGGTATAGCCACTGTGGAAAGCAATGTGGCAATACCTCAAAAAATTAAAAATGGAACTGTCTTATGGGAATATATCCGAAGAAACCTGAAACACTAATTCAAAAGAATATATATACCCTTATGTACATTGCTCCCTAGACTTCTTGTCCACACTTTGGAAAATACAGGGGAGCTGGGCTGGCTGCTCCCTTCCTGCCCTGGGCTGGTCTTTGTAAATTTGGAACCTGGCTGGGTCTCTTCTGCCCAGCCTTGATTGAGTACAACCCCATTGGGTCCAGAAAAGTGGTTTCCAGATCAGAAGGCAGGTGGAACAGGGCATTTATCAAAGAATTCTGAACTCCCAGGCTAGAAGCCACATTCATCTCTCTTTCTTGTGCACTCACATCAGAGCCTGTACCTTCTCTACAACTCCAGACTCCTCTGGCCCCTTGCAGGCCTCCAGTTCAATGGGCTCACTCTTTTAACATTGGGTCTTCCTCATACTGAACCCCCCTCCCCACATGCCCTCCAGGCCCCACTTTTCTTTGAGGCCACACAGGTCCACCTGCTTGTGCCCCTTCCCCTGGTCAGTGCCATCCTGGTGGGGTCTGAGCAGAGCGGGGGAAAAGCAGTGCCATCTTCACTATAGACGCTCATTCAGCAACTTAACAAATACCTCTGACGCTGTTCTGGGCCTGGCCCTGTGTATGAGGGTCAAAGGAGAACAAATCAAGCTTTCAATCTGCGGACTTTGAAAATCATGAAATAATAACTTCCAGCCAAGATGCAGACATAGGTAGATATGCTTTGCTTCCTCACACAACCAAAAAAAGGATAACAACCAATTTAAAAACAAAAAACAGCCAGAACTGCCAGAAAATTGAGCTGTATGGAAAGATGACAGCCAAAGAGTTAAAGAAGAAACATTCATCAAGACTGGTAGGAAGGGTAGAGATGGGCAGATGGGGCAGAGAGGACGTGTGGTGAGGTGGCAGCTGGTGGACTGGGTGGTCCCACATTTGCATGTGGATAAACTGGGAGGAACAACTGGGGAGGGAGACAGACCCTGCAACCCAGGATTCCAGAGCTGGGAAAATAAAGCCTCAAAACCTCTGGTTGTAAAAATCTGTGGGGGTTATGGCTGTGGGAAAAACTGCCAGTTTCACAGGAGAGTGTTGGAGGGGCCCATGGGGTCCTAGAATATATACAAGCCCACTCACCCAGGAATCAGCATCAGGGAAGCAACAAAAAATACACAATTCACTTGTGGGAAGCAGAGGAAGTGACTGAAAGTGGGATGAGAGCCAAGCAACTGGCATTGTTCCCTGTCTGACCCCTCCCCTACATACAGCGCCACATGCAGCGAAGTGGGTTGCCCTGTCCTGGTGAATACCTAAGGTTTCACCCCTTGCAATGTAACAGGTACACCAAGACAAAGAAATATGGCCAGATGAAAGAACAGATCAAAACTCCAGAAAAAGAAATAAGCAAGGAGGAGATAGCCAACCTATCAGATGCAGAGTTCAAAAACACTGGTAATCAGGATGCTCACAGAAATGGTTGAGTATGGCTGCAAAATAAAGGAAGAGAGAAGGCTATACAAACTGAAATAAAAATATACAGGGACTCAACAGTGCAGGGAAGGAAACTGGGACTCAAATCAATGATTTGGAACACAAGGAAGAAATAAACATTCAGCTGGAACAGAATGAAGAAACAAGAATTCAAAAAAAATGAGGAGAGGCTTAGGAACCTCTGGGACAACTTTAAATGTACCACCATCTGAATCATAGGGGTGCCAGAAGGAGAAGAGGAAGAGCAAGAAATTGAAAACTTATTTGAAAAAATAATGAAGGAAAACTTCCCCAATCTGGCAAAGGAAATAGACATACAAGTCCAGGAATCTCAGAGAGTCCCAAACAAATTGGGCCCAAAAAGGAACACACCAAGACATGTCATAATTAAATTACCCAACATTAGAGATAAAGAGAGAATCTTAAAAGCAGCAAGAGAAGAGAGTTACCTACAAAGGAGTTCCCATAAGACTATCAGCTGATTTCTTAAAAGAAACCTTGTAGGCAAGAAGGTGCTGGAAAGAAGAATTCAAAGTCATGAAAAGCAAGGACATACATTCAAGATTACTCTATCCAGCAAAGCTATCATTTAGCTTTATATAAATAGATAAAGTGCTTCCCAGATAAGGTAAAGTTAAAGGAACTCATATTATCACCAAGCCCTTATTATATGAAATGTTAAAGGGACTTATCTAAGAAAAAGAAAATCAAAGTTATGGTAAGTAAAATGACAACAAACTCACGACTATCAACAACTGAACCTAAAAAACCCAAAACAAATTAAGCAAACAATGAAAACAGGAACAGAATGACAGAAGTGGAGATCACATGGACGGCTATCAGTGTGGAGGGAGAAGAGTGAGAATGGGGAAAAGGTACAGGGAATAAGCAGCATAAATAGTAGGTACAAAATAGATAGGAAGAGGTTAAGAATAGCATAGGAAATGGAGAAGCCAAAGGAATTATATGTACAACCCAAGGACATGAACTAAGGTGGGGGGATGCAGGAGGGAATGGGGGTACTGGGCAGAGAGGGATAAAGGGGAGGAAAAAAATGGGACAACTATAATAGCATAATCAATAAAATATACTTTAAAAAATCATGACATATATACTTACATGGCAGGGGAGATAGCATGATCACGAAGGTGGCTTTCCTAGGGTGAGGCTTATCCATTGCTCTCTGGATGTGCTGACCCCTGTGATTTCCCCAAGTGTGAGAAACTCGACTGCATAATTTGTGATAGTGGGGGACTGTGTTTGCACTCTCCCCTGACCAAAAAAAAAAAAAAAAAAAAAAAAAAAAAAAGGAAAGAAAGAAAAGAAAAGAAAAGAAAAGAAAAAAGGAAAGAAATATTTTAAGCTTCAGAAAAACATAGCAAATAGTAAAGGAAACTCCATGCCCTTGCCACCCAGCCTTTCCAGATAGTTAACATTGTGCCCCATTTCATAGCCTTTTTTTTTTTTTTAAGAGACCGTGGCGGAGACTGTTGAAGCCTCTGGTGGACCTCTTTCCCACTTACCTTTACAGACATAATGCCATTCTGAATTTTGGTTTTTTCATTTTTTTACGTGTTTTTATTCTTTTGCTGAGTGTGTAAGTGTAAAAAAATATGTAGTTGTTACTTTAAAAATTTTATACAAATGGATTCACACAATATGAATCGTTCTGCAGCTTGCTTTTTCTCACTCAGCTTCAGGTTACTGAAATGTAGCTTTTTAGATCCTTGTGGCTCTGGTTCCTACTTGCCTCGATGTATGATACACCACTCGATGTGACCCCATTTGCTTATTTATCCAGCCTCCTTGATAATTAGTGAGGTGGTTCCCAGTGTCTTACTCTTTAAACAATGAATATTTTCATATGATTGTCCTTTGCACACACATGCGTGTCCTTTTACATTTCCCCATAGGAGTAGAATCACAGGATCTTAAGAGATATATACTTAATCTTTTAAAGTTATCTGGTTTCATGATAAAAGTAGAGGTGCTCAATAAGAGAAATGATGGAAATACATAATCTTAGAAAAAATAACAATCACATTTCCTGAGTACTTCTTGTTGTGCTGTTCTTCACAGCAGCCCTGTGAGGTAGGGCTCCTACCTCCCGTTTCACTGACAGGAAAACTGAGGCTCATGGAGTTTAAAGCACCTTGCCAGGTTTCTTCAGCAAGTACTTGCTGAGCTGCAGCTTGAGTCCAGGGTTGTCTGCTTTCAAAACTCTTGAAGGCCACGCTGCACTAGGCCATGACACCTCACTCCATGCCACATGATACTTTCTTTATGCAGAGCTAAGGGGGATTCTTTGGAAGTAGATTCACAATCATATTTGCAATTTAGAAAGGTCACTTTGGAAGCGATAAGGTCCCTGTAGACATGCTGTCTTGCCCTCTGAGCCAAAGTTCCCCCTGAATGGGGAAGCAGGGAGTAAAAAGCCAGCTTGGATCCCGTATGCTCCCTGAATGATGTCTTTGCCCTTTCTCCAGTGTCCCACACCCACCTCTTCCTGACTGGGGTCAGGGAAGGGGAGTTTTCTGTCCCCAGTAGGGACTGAGGGTCCCAGCTCTACCCAGGCATGCCCATCAGGCATTAGCTGAGGCGGCAGCTTCCCAGAAGATTAAAGAAGGGAGGCGGGAGGGAAGGAGAGGGTGGGGTGTCTCCAGGCTGCCTGAGCTCCCCTCTCACCTTGGCCTCAAGTCTCCCCTACTGTGCCAAGCTCCTGGCATCGGTGGACATCCAGCTTCACGTTCCAACCGGCTCAGTGCCCCCTCCGATCCTCTGCTTCCCCAAGGCCCAGTGGAGAAGCCACCATCCCCACTTGGGAGCTCAAGAATTTATTGGCCTGGTGGTTTGGAGCAGAAAGACCTTGAAGTAACAGAGATAGCCTGTGGACACGTGGGGACCTCAGTCAGCCAGGAGAGAAGAAAGGTTTGGCAAGGTGGCTTTTGCAGAAAGCACTTCTATCTTCTTCCAGGCTGCTGGGAGGAGCAGAATAGATTCCTGTCTTCATTTCCTTGTCTTTCAAGTGTAGATAAGAGTCTGCCTGCCTTTCCAGGCTGGTGGGAGGATTGAGTGAACTAATTAGTCATCTATTTAGGTAACTTGAAGTGATAATTTTGTGGTGGTGATGGGGTGGTTGTTAATGCTGTTATTAAGTCACTGGGCCCAAGGTCCTTAGCTTCCTGAGCTCCCCAGCCCCTCCTCCCCCCAGCAGGCCTTCCAGAGCCTCTGTCTCCCTGCCCTGCCCCGTGGCTTGGGCTCCTCCTCCCTATGGTGTCCTGCTTCCAACCCTTTGCTCTCACTCTTTCCCTTCCTTGGACTTTTTTCTCCATCTTGTCCTCAATTCAGTGCCATCTTTCCCGGAAAGCTTCCTTGTGTGCCCCACCCTCCCTTCTGGGCCGCCGCAGTCCCTGGTGGTTACCCTGAGGGCTCTGGCAGTCACCGCTCCTGCCCCCACCCATTGCATCTGTCCTCCCCATGAGCTCTGAAAAAGCAGGCCCAGGTCTGGGTTGGGTCTGCTCTGTGTCCCTAGGCCTGGCCTGGAGCTGGAGATTTAGAGGTATTTTGGGAAGGGAAGGAGGGAGAGGTCATCTCAGACCCACCTCACTAGAGTTAAGTAGAAGAGGTGCTGGGGCTGCCAGGGGAGGCAATATGTGCCTCTGTGTTGTGTGGCCATCTGTCTGTGCCTCCTTTCCAGGTTGTCCCAACAGGTAGAACCTTTTCCATGGAGGGGGGAGAAGCTGGTGGTGGTGGTGGAGGGGTGTTGCGCAGACATGGGAAGCAGGTTCTTGGCTCTGGAATTGTATAGAGATGGACTCAAGCCAGGACAATGGACTTGACCTTGGGGCTGAGCTGGTGGGCACTGGCTCAGGCAGAAACTTGAGTTTAGAACCCATGCTTGGGCATGTGACCTTGGCCAAGTCACCTCTCCTCTGTGCCTCAGTCTCCTCATCGGCAGTGGGGGTAATAACCCACTTCACGGGCTTAGTGAGGGCTCAAGGAAAGAATGCCAGTTAAACCCCTGGGGCCGTAAGTGCTCACTGCCTCTTCATCGACTCATCCAGCTGAGGTGGGTGGACTGAACACCAGGCTCATCGCTCGGCACAAAGGAAGACACTGTCCCCGCCTCATGGAGAGAGGGACAGGGCTGCTTCCAGTGGGGCCTTTTTGGCCATGGGAAGGGATTTGGTCTTTACCCTAAGAGTAGGGAGAAGACAATGAAGGCATGCAAGTCCAAAAGTGTGACATGGTTATATTTGGATTAAAAAAAAAAACAAAAATACTTTGGCTATTATGAGAGGGACAGATTAGAGGGAATAACACTTCTAACATTCTCCTTTAAAAAAAAAAAGATTTTATTTATTTTCAGAGAGAGGGGAAGGGAGTGAGAAAGAAAGGGAGAAAAACATCATACATGTGAGAGAACTATCAATCAGTTGCCTTTTATACACGCCCAACTGGGGACCTGGCCCACAACCCAGGTGTGTTCCCTGACAGGGAATCGAACTGGAAACCTTTCAGTTCACAGGCTGGCACTCAATCCAGTGAGCCACACCAGCCAGGGCCCTAACATTCTCCTTTTTTAAAAACAAAACAAAACAAAACAAAACAACCTACCTAGAGGCTGGATAAGTTAAAACAAATATCCTTTGAAATACATTCCTGAGATTGCACAGAAGTAACAGAACTCCTAAGCCAGGAGTAAAGAGAGAGTGGATATTAGGCTGGTAAATGAGATGTAGCCACAGCAACCTGAGGGTATTTACAAGTTGCAGAAACATAGAACCTTGAGTTTTAACAGCCACTCAAGGGATGGGCAATAAGGTCCTGGGCCTGCAGCCACAATGTGAGGAGCTGGAATGTAGCCTCCCTGCCCCCACCACATGAATTGGGACTTTCAAAGGTCTTCATCAAATAGGGGCATTGGCCAGAACAAAATATTCACCTATCTGCAATGGGAAACAGCAGTTCTGGTGGGGGCGGAAGGGTTCCGAAGAAAATTATATTGCCCTCACACAAATTTTGGGTTTCAGTACAACACTATATTTGTCATGCTGAAAATGCTAAACTAAAAAAGTAACTAGCGTGGTTTCGGTGGTAGTGCCCCAGAGAACCTGGTGCAGTGAATGAACATCCTCCTGGGAGGAACAGGGTCTCATCCCAAGGGGATCCATCAAATAGGAGCTCATGGTAAAACTACAAAACATGCAAGGAAACAAGTTGCTGTGAGCGATAGGCACTGAATGCAAGAAATAGCTGAATTAGTTTCTCTGAGAGTCTGAGATGCTAGAATTATGATATATAGAATATAAAGAATTGTGTTTTAAGTGTGTAAAAAAAAAAAAATCAAAGATGGACTTTCAACAATAAGCAGAGAAGACTATACTGCCCAAAATGGCCAAGCAGATTTGAAAAAGAACAAAGTAGAGTTTCTGGAGATGAAAAATATAACTATTGGAATGAAGAGAATTAATGAAGTGGAGGATCTAAATTACTCAGACTCTAACTGAGAAAGTCAAAGAGGTAGCAAAGCAGAGAGGGAAGAGACATGAAATAAAGACTAAAATGGTCTATCCGAGAGAGAGAAGGGCCAGGAGGAGTTGGGAGTGGAAAGGGCGTCTTCCATGAGGCCAGGCTAAACATGCCTGCACTGGAGGGCGCGGGGCGCTGGAAGAGATGTTCGGGAGGGAGAACTGGCAGGGCTCAGTGATGCAGCCAATGACGGCGGCCAGGCAGAGCAATGTGTCGAAGATGACTATGAAATTCTGGGCTTGAGGCGCTAGTTAGAGGGGTGTCATTTATTAAAAACTTGGGGAGAGCAGAGAGAACAGATTGGAGAGAACAGACAAGAGCTCACTTTTAAATGAGACAAGTTTCAGTTTGCCTGAGAAGATCTGCTGATGCATCACAGGGGAGACATTAGAGCTGGGCCTGAAGGTGTGTGTAGGAGTTTACCTGGTGGAGGAGGGACTTCGTCCTAACTTCCGGGGAAAAGGATCTCCTTGCAGCAAGATCAAGGCCCGTTTTGAAAGCTTCTCTCACTCTAAAGAGACCTCTTGAGAAGAGACATTCTCAAAATCACCAGAGAGGACTTTGGAATCTTCTTGTTTATTCTCTCATTTTCAACTGGGGAAGCTGAGACCCAGAAAGATCAGAGGTTTGCTCTCTTAGCCTTAGACTTGTCATTCATTCATTCATTCATTCATTCACTCGCTTAACAGGCACTTATCAAAAACTCATTTTGTACCAGATACTAGATGCTGGGGCTAGGGCAGGAAATGAAACAAAGAATCCTGCCCTCAGGAAGCATATATTTTAGCGGAGAGAGATAGACTATAAACACAAAATATCCACAAAAATAAGGAAAAACTATATGTCAGAAGGTGGTAAGAGCTATAGAGAAGCAGAAGGACTGGAAAATATCGGAGGTGCTGTTGGGAAGTTGAGCCTTGAGCGTAAAAGGCCCTGGGCAGCTCCCATAGGCCCGCTGCCCACTGCAGCCCATTGTGACAGCGTCTCTGGGATTCTAGAGCGCAGCCTGAGGGGGCAGGAGAGGGCCTAGGGAAGGAGAAAGGAAAGGACTGAGAGGAATTAAGCGGGTGGGCTGTGCCCCCCGGGGCGGGGGTGGGAAAGCCCAATGGGTCAGAAGGGCCACAAAGATTCCCTTTACTCTTGTGAGAGGTAAGATAACGTTTCTGAGTCTTCCTTGCCTCCCTATGCTCAGCCCTCCTCAACCCTCTCCATAAGATCTCAGAGGTTAGCCCATTCTGCCCTCCTCCCGCCTTTAGGAACATTTAGAAGTGGGTCCAAATTGTCCTTGTGTCCCAACGGGCAGCCTGGAGGAGCTGGCGACAGGCGTCCAAGGCCCACCAGGGAGCCAGATGGGCCCTGAGAGGCTGTCCCGGCCAAGAGCGTGGTAGAAGTCCCCGGGATCACACCCCCGCGTCTCTCTCCTCAGGACTGCTGTGAGCGGCCTCCACGAGGCCCTGGACCAGTGCATGACCGCCCTGGACCTCTTCCTCACCAACCAGTTCTCAGAAGCACTCAGCTACCTCAAGCCCAGGTGAGTCTTAAGCCCAGGTTGGGGGTAGGAGGTGTACGTGTGCGTGTGTTTGTGTGAGCCCATGTGCGAGTGTAGGGATGGGGGTTGGTGGGTCATGGAGAACCAGAGGTCATCTGTGAGTGGATGCCCAGTAACTGAGTGCCTTCAGCCTTCCGGGTCACAGTGACCCCTGAGAATCCCATAAACATGGCTCAGGTTCCCCATTCCACAGCTGTGAGTGGCCAGGCCCTCCCCAAGGTCACTGTGACTTCCTTCCTCTTAGATCTTCTGGCTTCTTCTACTTGGATTTCTTCTTCCCACTGAACCCACCAGGGGTTTCTCCCCCATCAGTTAACACAGCCCCTTTTCTTTATTTTTTTTCCCCCAAGTGCTAAAGACTATGGAGTTGCTTTTACTCAAGCCTTTTAGGGTAATAATGACAGTCATTTAGCTAATTCTTCTAGGGTTTACAGCCTTATTTCTAAAAAACATGTTTATACTGCTCTTTTTTTACTTACTTTTTGCAGTTTTTCAGAAACTGAAATTGACATAAAATTCAAGTACCATAAAATTCACTCTTTTGTTACTCTTTACTTTTAAACATTATCTATTGGTAAACAAGAAGTTAACTTTCCAGTACCTCTGCCCCATCTCCTTTCCCTCATCTCCCTCTTATCACTATATCACAATATTTGGCTGGATCAACAATAAATGTTAACATTATTATAACTATGTAGTTAATGCTCACCACAGAGACAAGTCATACATTGTAAGACTACATTTCCTTTCCAGAGTTAATAATTGTTTCATTTGTTTCATTAGCCTAGTTTACTATACATCTTTCTTGAACTCTTTCTAACCACTCCATCAGATCATACTATTTTGACTTTTTCCCCTAAATGCTCAGACATGTCAGGTAAGCACTCAGTTCCCCGCTTTTCATGGAAACCTGTCCCCTGGAGGACAGACGTGTCTGTTGGCCCCCTCCCAGCTGTCCCCCGGACCCCCTCTGCTTGATCCTGGCTTTTTCTCTCTTGTATCTTCCCTCATTTTACCAGAACAGGTCCTCGAGAAATTGTTACTAAGAAACTGTTGCAGGAATATAATTTTTCCTCATCAGGATTTTGAAGGTATTGTGCCTTGTTTTCTAGCCCTTACTAGCCATGAGAACCCTAATTCTCACTTTGCATCTGACCTTTGTTCCCTCTCCAGGAAAGCTTAGGCTCTTCGCTTTTATTTCCGCAACTTGGAAACTTCACTATGACATGATGGAATGTAGGCTCTTTTTTTAAAAAAAATAAATTATTTATTTATTTTTAGAGAGAAGGGAAAGGAGGGAGAAAGAGAGGGAGAAAAACATCAACATGTGACAGATACATCGATTGGTTGCCTTTCGAACGCCCCTAACTGGGGACGTGGCCCCAGACATGTGCTGTGACTGGGAATCAAACAGCAAAATTTCAGTTTGCAGGCTGGCACTCAGTCCACTGAGCCACACCAGCCAGGGCTGTAGGTCTTTTTTATTTGGTACATTTGATTTGAGACTCTGTGTTTCAGTTCTAGGAAATTCTCTTGTATGATCCCTCCATGTTCTCTTTCCCCTTCCTAAACTTCTTTTAAGTCAGATATTAGACTTCCTGGATCATTCAGTCCTCTTCTAAGACTCTTATTTCTCCCTGCCCCCAATTCAAAATTCTTTATCTTTATCTTTTTCTTTTTCTTAATTTCTGGGAGATTTCCTCAATCTTACCGTTAAATCTGTCTACTGACTTTTCTTTATTCTTGTAATTACCATATATGATTAATTTCCTAGTACTCCTCATTGTTCTCTGAATGCTCTTTGTTCTTTATATCTATATCTGGAATATAAGAGTCCTTAGCACAAGGCCTGGCATGTAGCAAGCACTCGAATAAATATTTATTGTTGTTATTATCACAGAATATTATTTCTTTATAATGTTTTATTCTTTTCCTGCATAATCTTAGCCTTCTCCAGGTGCCCTATTCCATTTAATGAGGGGAATCCTCTTCTCGTGGGGGAATCCTCTCCTTAATGCCCGCTGTTTCCTGGCTGTCTATACGGTCATATTTAGGAGTGAGTTTCTTAAAAGGCCGGTTGGAAAGTCTGGACCAAGCAGCCTTGTCATTAGTGGCATCAACTTCGGGATTATAAGGCTGAAAGTTGGCCCCAGATGTCAGCTTCTCCAGAAAAGAGTCCTCCATTCCTCGGCTGAGACAGAGGGCCCCTGGCTGCCTGCCCTTTGGGGCTGGGGTGGGGTGGGGTGCACGGTCTAATCATGTCTACGGTCTGCTTACCCTTAATCCCCTTTTCAGCTCTAGGCTTTCCTCTGCCACACCTAGGTCCCTAAGCTCTCAGGAAAAGCAAAGAGTGAGGCCAGGGGACCTCCTTCCCCAAGTCCCCACGCCTGACCTGTTCAATTTCTCTAGTCTGCACTGACTCATTCATTGTTCTTCTGGGGTCAGTGGCTCAGCTTCTGGGGGGGCGGGGGGTCCAAGGCGTGATGACCTTGGTGAGTCTTACAACAGCGGCACCGGCAGGAACCCCCACACTTCATCCCCCCCTCGGAGGGGATCTGGGCCTGAGTGGGGGCAGATCGGGCAAGCAGGGGTCCACAGTCTGAATGTGGCCTCCATCTGAGGCAGACGGAGCCTCCTCCTGCTCCACTGCCAAACGTCCAGGGTCCCCTCCCAGTGTTTTTGGAAGGCTCCTGACTCCACTTCCATCCTGGTTATTACCTGTCACTTACTTGGCCCTGAACCCCAGACTGTGGCCACCTGCCCTCACTGGCCAGACTGCCCAGGGCACAGCTGCTCGGCCCGTCCTCCACTCCAGGCTCCAGCACTGGCCTGTCTCCTTAACCCCTAAAGCCCAGCTGAGACTAGGCCATACCTGGGTCTCACTCTAAACTGTCCTGCAGACGTGGGGCCAACAGAAGGGAGACTGAGCCCAGAGGAAACTGTTAAAACCAGATGCCATGCTGCACCCAGTCCCTGAAGCTATACCCACCACAGAGTCCCTAAGTGACCCCCTGCCACCCCTCCTCATTGAGGGGCTGCCTCATCTTCCCTCCTAAAGGTGGCTCCACAGAGAGACAGTCTTCCCATGAGGCCACCTTCTCCTGCACACGGAAAGCAGTGTAGCTTCTCTTTATCTTAGGTCCTGCCCCCTCCCACAAAAGGATCTTTCCTTTCTTTTTGAATTTAAGAGGTTTCTCCCTAAACAGTAGATGTCAGTGGCACACTCCCCGTGCTCCTTGTGACAACCAAAAAATGTTTCCAGATAACGACAAATGTCCGGGGGCAGCAAAAACACCTCTCCACCGCATGAGAACCACTGGTCTACTGAAAACTGTCCTTGTTCAGAATGGCCTCCCCTCCCCAGTCATAGCCACTGAAGCTTGAAAAGATGTTGGAGTTCAGTCCCTTTCACTGTTCCTCATTGTGTACCATGCATCTCATTTAATTGTCCTAATCCCATGCAGTGGGGGATGTTACCCCTCTTTTGCCTTCCCGTTCCTGGTTCATTCACCAAAACCTCACAAGTGCTGGGTTCTGGGGCTGCAGTACTGAGCAAGGCATGGCTGTTCTCAGTGAAACAAGCAATAACGGGTGCCAGGAGTTATACCTAGACCCCGGACTCATGTGGGGAGGGGCTGGTCAGGAAGGCATTAGGACTGGCCACATAAGTTTTGGGACTCATGACAAGATGAAAATATGGAGTCCTATTAAAAAATTATCAAGGATTTCAAGACATATAGCAGAACACTAAACCAAGCAAGCAGGGGGCCTTTTTAGGCATCGGGCCCAGTGTCACTGTACAGATCCCATCATGAAGCTAGCTCTGGATGTCTTCCTGGAGGAAGTGACATTTAGTTTGAGATGGGCTGGCTGAGAAGGAGTCAGCCAGATGGAGGACGTATCTAGGCAGAGGGAACAGGTTGTCCAAAGGCCTGACAGATGGAGGGAGGGTCTAGTGTGTTCGAGGAACAGAGACACTTGACCTGGCTGGAGTGAGGAGAGCTGAAGCAGGTCCCAGAAGGGAGAGGGCGGGGTGATGGAGGGTGAACTGGGGCTGTGAGTCCCCCAGAAGGTGCTTGGGCTGGAGAAGAGGGCAATGAGGTGGGGTCTGGAAGGTAGGGTTTTAACTACAGTGGAGTAAATAAAGACGCTTGGCCTGGCTGGTGTGGCTCAGTGGGTTGAGCACCAGCCTGGAAACTGAAAGGCTGCAGTTCGATTCCTGGTCAGGGCACATGCCTGGTCCCCAATACGGGGTGCATGAGAGGCTGCTGGAAGCCAGTTGATGTTTCTCTCTCTTTTCTTCCCTCCCTTCCCTTCTCTCTATAAAGAAAAAATAAAATCTTAAAAAAAAAAAAAGATCCCTGCCTGGTGTGGCTCAGTGGATTGAGCACCTGCCTGTGAACCAAAGGATCACGGGTTTGATTCCCAGTCAGGGTATAGGCCTGGGTTGTGGGCCAGGTACCCAGTAGGGGGCGCTCAAGAGACAACCATACATTGATGTTTCCCTCTCTCCTTTCCCCTCTCTAAAAATAAATAAATAAAGTCTTTTTTAAAGGAGGCTCAGAAGCAAGGGAGCTGCCTCTGCCTGCCAACCTAGAGCAGCCTGCCCAGGGAGGCCTTTGAAAGTGGAGCCTTAGGCTGGGACTGAAGGGGTGCCCCAGGAAGGATCAGGGAGGTATTGGGTCAGAGTCGGGAGACCCAGATGCTGGGGACAAGGATGGCTGACAAGTAGCTTGGCCCCTGGTAGAGGAGGGAAGGGCTGGAGGCCACTGGGCTTAGTTGACCTCCAGGTAGCCATGGAGCCCCAGGTTCCAACACCAGCTCTTCTGAGGGCTCTTCCAGTGCCCTCCCCATCTTGACAGCTGGTCTGAGCCCAGAATGTAAGACCCCAGTGGGCATCATGTTCCACAGCTGGTCTAGCTTAGAGGTGAGGGGGCTGTTCTCCCAGGGGTCTGGACGCTGTATGTGCAAAGAAGAGCTTTGTGGACTGCAGACTAAACTTGGAGTGTTTGAGGTCAGGGAGGTTGTCATACCTCTGTATCCCAAATCCCCGTCCATACATAGCTGGGGAGCTTCCAGGTGGTGGGCTGGGGAAGGGCCAGGAGCATGCTCTGGCCTCGGGCCTCGGACTGGAAATTCCACTTTGCCTGCCAGCTGCTGGAGGGGGAGGGGAGTGGCTGGCGGCTGTTCCTTCTTGTAGGCCCAGAACCAGACTGGGCTCAGCAGGTGGAGTTGAGTGGGCAGAGCTGAGTCCCTGGCCTCAGCCCGGTGGGGTGGGGGTTGGGGGAGAGAGGAAGAGGAAGGCAGGGGCTTGAGAGGCCTGGTGGGAGGGGACTACCTGGGGAGGCATGGGTCTGTGTGCTGCGGGAGAGACACCCCCCCTACCCCCCCACCAAGGAGAAAGCTTGTATCCAGGGTAATGACTGTTGACCCTGGCAGTACACAGAGGGACTCAGATTTATTGGCCGCATGACATCCTATTTAAGCCACCCAAAGTCCTAGGAGAGAAGGATTATTGTATCCGTTTTACAGAGGAGAGCCTTGAGGCTCAGAGAGGCTACAAGACTCACCAGAACCACACAACTGGTAACTAGCAAAGCCAAGATTCCAACCTGTGTCTGAGGGACTCTGAAGCCTGAGCTCTGCCCGGACTGCAGGCTGTGGCCTCCTTTCCGCAGGTCACTGCCCTCAGATTAAACAGTTCTAGCAAAGATCTGGGAGGTGTCCCATCAGACGTGGTGAGGGGTGGACAAGCCATTGGTTTCCTTTCAAAACCTTTGACTTCCAAGGAAATATCACCTGAGGGTCACCCAGATGTAAAAAAAAAGCAACTTAATTTACAGAGGTGTTTCGTGAATGAGAAAAGCAGGAAAATGGGTAAAGTCACATGATTTTACAATAGAACAATCTATAAACCTTAACCATCTCTTTTTCCTCTGAAGTTCCCAGCGTAAGCTTAGTGCTTAGGAGTTTCATAAATAATTAACATGTGTATGTAGGGAAGGGAGTGAAACCACTGCAGCACCTACTATGTGCTACGCAAGGGCAGGCCAGCATCATTGTCCCCATTTTGCAGAAGCATAAATCAAGGCCCAGCCATATTAGGACTTCCCCAAGTACAGAGAGGGACTGGCATTGTTCTCATCCCTCCTTGCCTGCTGCTCTCTCTGTGTGTCAGACTCAATGTTCCCCACCCCGACTCCAACCCCAGCACGTCCTTAGTTGAGGACTGAAGGGGAAGGCCTCCTGGCTGAGGTAGGCTTGTTTGGTCCCATACATGGTGCTGAGGACAGAGATGTGTGCCACACAAGCTGTGTCCCTGAGGCACACATAGTCTGGGGAGAGAGCTGTGCTTCTGCTGGTTTAAGTTCACTGTGAGCCTCACTGCAGCTATAGACACGTGTTCCCTGAGGAGGGAGCCCTGGATTCCCCGTGGCCTTGGAGGCATTTGAAAGCTTTGACAGTCAGGGCACAGGAGGGTAGGGGAAGGACATTTCTAGCTGAGGGAACAGCACAAAGACCTGGAAGGAGGGAGAACGTGGGATTTTCTTGAGGAGAGTCTGTGTGGTTCAACCTGGAATGTGACCACATCACAGGGCAGAAACGGAAGTGACAAGAGGGCTGGGCTGGAGAGGTAGGCAGGGCCTGTATTGCGTGGAGCCTCAGACCCAAGTGCTATCTCACGGGATGTGGAAGCTACAGAGGCTTTACCCAGAGACAGACGTGATCAGATAGATGGTGGAATGGGAAGAGGCCGGCGGTGGGAGGCCTGTGCGGAGGTCTGGGAAGCAAGCACTGGACAAGCCCACGGTGGGCCTTGAGGACAGAAGGGATCCCACTCCCAGGACTTGGGGCTCCGCCGGCGGGAGGCTGGGCAGAAGGCTCGGGGCAAGCCATGGCTGCGTGCAAGGAAGACCTCAGGCCGATGTGGAGTCTTCACAGCAGCCTTGTTGGTGCTATCTCTACAGAACAGAAGAGAAACTGAGGCTCAGGTTTGGAAAGTCACTTAAAGCCACTCAGCTGGGATAGGAGGCCTTTAGGCGTTGGGCAAGCCTCTTCTCCTCCCTGGACCCCGCTTTGCCCCCATGCAGAGTGGGAGAGGCATGGCTGGGTGACACAGGGCTGGCTGTCTCTGGAGTTCCAGGAGTTGGGGCTCTCATGTCCTTTCTCTCTGGCAGAACCAAGGAGAGCATGTACCACTCCCTGACATATGCCACCATCCTGGAGATGCAGGCCATGATGACCTTTGACCCTCAGGACATCCTGCTTGCTGGCAACATGATGAAGGAGGCGCAGCTGCTGTGTCAGAGGTCGGGCCACGGGGTGGGCAGGGCTGAGGGGTCACGAGGCCCATCCTTCTGTCACGCTGGCCTATCCCAGTGTCTCAAATGCTACGATGAATGCTGTTCCTTTTGGCTAAAAGGATGTGTCCCCAAGTGCCAACAGCTGCCACTCTCAGCACTGCCTCAGGAACCTTGTCGGAGCCACTCACTGAGAGTCTCCCAGGGGCCAGGCCTGATTGGGAGGAGATGAAGCCTGGCTGTCACTTAATAACTCTTTGGCCTTGGGCAAGTCCTTCTGGGGACCTGGTTTTCCCTGTCTATAACATGGGGGTGATCACAAGCTTGTCACAGGGGCTGCATGAAAATACCGTCGCAGGCCCTGGAGTGTAATGGGCGTTCAGTACATGTTAACTGCTTACATCGGTGGACCGGTAGACCCTGAGTGTGAGCGTGTGGTCACCCTTCAGTGGGCGCACCCTCATGCTTGCCCTCGGTGAGGCCCTGTGCTGGGTGCTGGCTGCCCAGGCGCTCATCAGGCCTGGGCCGCTTGACACTCACACTTCCTGGTGGGAAGACAGGCACAAACAGTGACAGCCAGCATGATGCTCAAGGGGCTGTGGGGTTCAGCTGGGGGAGCAGGAAAGGCTTTTTGGGGGAGGTGATGGCAGAGCTGGTTGGTGAAGGGTGACTAGGAGCAAAGGAGAGAGGAGAGGGGCTCCAAGCAGAGAGACCAGCAGGGGCACCAGTGTGAGAAAGCCCTGGGTTTGGGGGAGTGGCCAGGAGTTCAGTGTGTGTGTGTGTGGGGGGGGGGTTCCTATGGGAGGGTCAGGTGCGGTCAGAGCCCAGCTGGGAGCCCCCTCCCCTTCCCTGAATGATCGGAGGCCCCGTTTTCCTCTTCAGGCACCGGAGGAAGTCCTCTGTAACAGATTCTTTCAGCAACCTTGTGCACCGCCCTACCATGGATCAGTTCACGGAAGGTGTGGCGTCATCCAGGATGTCTTCTCAACCCCGCTGGCCCCAGGCAGCCCAGTTCCAGGCCGGGGAGGGGCAGGAAGGGGCAGTTACCTCCCGGTCTTGCTGAGGGGCTGGGCCCTGGCCTGATGCGGGGACACACGTGGGTCAAACCTGGGCCCTTTGAGGAGTGGCCCTCAGGTGAAGGGCAGACAAGTAAGACTCACCCCCTTGACGGCACGGCCTGCTAAGGGCCTGGAGGTCAGGAAGGAGGACGCTGTCATAAGGTCTGTGTACTTTGTTCCTCAGGCCAGGGGCGCTTAGCATTGTGTGTGCGGTGAGGTTTGCTGGTTGAATTGTAGCAGTGATCGATTTCATGGGCCCCAGAGGGGATGTGTGTTTAGAAGCTGACACACGGTAGGAGGGAGCTGAAGGCAGTGGGAGAGATGGTCCAGTCTGCCAGCGCCTATGTGGTGTCTTCATGCCACATGTGGCCGTTCAGCAGCCACTTGTGAGCAATTTGGGGCTCTTCAGTATAGGGGCAAATGTCCTTCCCCACCTCGAGAGCCCTGGAAGATCCCAGCAAGAAGCAGTGCACATGATGGTGCCATTTCCTCCTTCATACCATCCGTAGCTCCCAGCCGCCCACAGGGCCAATCTGTAATCCTCACCAGGGTTCGGGGCTCTCTGCAGGGGCTCCTCTGCCCTACGCCCGTTCTTTCCTCACCTCGTCCCCATTTCAACCTTCTGTGCCTCAGCTGTCCCCCAACATCTCCATTGTTTGGCTCTCCTGGGCCTCTTTTTAGAAAGCTTTCCCTGCCTCATTTTTCATTCCCTTTTCAACTTAAATGTCCTTTCTTCTGGAAACCTTCCCTGGAAGCTTGGGTCTCCTTCCCTTACTCTCAAAGCTTCTTTGTTCATCCATTCAACCCAGCATCTTGTCCTCGCCCCGCACCATCGGGATGTTGGTGCACAGCTACAGTGGTACTTGGGGAGCGGGGAGCAGGCGGAGGGCTCTGTGCTGACTTTCCCGGCGGTGGGGATTGGGAACCAGGTGCAAGGCAGGCGGGCAGGGGATGTGAGCTAATTCAGAACAGCGGTGAGTACTGCCCAGCCTGACCTGGGTGATGCGGTGGAGGAGGCTGGGGAGGGTGCTGACTCAGGCTCCCTTTGCTTTTTTGGGAAGTGGGGGTGGGGAGGATTTGGCCCAAGCCTCCTGCCAAGAGTCCCGGGAGGCCACAGGGCTTTGGTTTTCTTCCCGCAGAGGAGATCCACGCTGAGGTCTGCTATGCAGAATGCCTGCTGCAGAGAGCAGCCCTGACTTTCCTGCAGGTAGGAGCCCTCTGCTTGTACAAGCAGCCTGGGGATTTCAGGAGATGGATCACCATGTCAGAGACAGAAGGGCCCATAGCAGCCCTGATCAGCCCCCTTGTGGTTCAAGCGACACTCTCAGCCCCGGCCAGGCTCAGGGACAGAGGTCATGGGCTGTACCCGCTCCACCCAGCACGTGTGTCCCATCCGCTCCCAGGACGCGCTTTCACCTCGTGACTGCTGCTGTCCTGCTAAGGGTCACATGGGATACAGGCATTGTCCCAAAGGCTGCTTTACACCTGATTTATTCAACCACGTTGACTGGTAGCATCTACGACATACCAGGCTGTGGGCATACGTTACAGGCATATAGTGTTCACATACCTTATACACGCTGCATGTTTGTTTTTATGTACACTTACATATATTACTTAATCTTCATCTCACAGGCCTGCAAAGGGGAGGGTCTGAGAGGAGGAGCCACTTTCCCAAGGTCACGTGGCTAGCAAATGGCAGAGCTGGGATTTGGACCCAGGTCTGGCCGAGGGTAGCCTGTGCTCCTTACCACACAGCAGTAACCATGAGAACCATCACCTCATGATTTTACCAAAGAGTTGAGTTAGAATGATCACATATAATCATCATGTAAATAGGTATATGGGGGTGGAAAAGCATATATAAAATTTATTGCTGGGGCACTGTTTATTTTGGTTTTCTATTTTTCTATCCTTTTGGACCTCTGGTGATTAGAATTGGATTAATCCTAATCTTTCATTAGGATCACTGTAATAATGGCACCAGGAATGGCCTTTGATTTTCTTTGCTTATTCTAATATTACACATAGTAAATAAACAAATGTTTATGAAGCCACCCCCCGCCCCCGCCCCTGCCCCGCCATCAGAGAACAGAACTTTGCTAGAAGTCTCCTCACTCTCTGGGCACCTCTCCACCCTGTTCCCTGCCTCCCTCCACATGGGGAAACCACTAGCTAGAGTTTTACTGTTTATCATCCCCCCACTGTATTTTTTAAAAATAGCTTTTTCATCTTCCAATTCATGTCTGAACAGCATATTATGTGTTAGTTGGCTTCAAGCTGTGTGGGATCTGCTTTCTTTACCCAAACCTATGTGGCTGTGTAATGTTTCTTCTGTGAATATACCGGCTTGTTTATTCATCCTCCTGCTGAAGGGCATTTGGGTTTTTTCTGGGTTTTGGCTGCTGTGAACAGGGTGCTGTAAACATTCGTGAAGGTGACTTCCGCAGCCCATGTTCATCATTTCTTTTGGGTGTAAACTCTGGGGGGCAGCTGCTGGGTAGGCTGTAGGTGTTAGTGCTTTACATTACACATGTGATAAATACCAGCTTGTGAGAAACACAAACAATCCAAAACTGAGCATCCCTCTTCTTTTCCCACATCCTGTCTTCCACCTAGAGGAGGTGCTGTGAACCACGGGTGAACCGTGGAGAGCGGCTCTTCCAGTACCCACGCATAGCTGGTGAAGGGCATTGTGGTCAAACCCTGGGCATTTTGGAGGTCTTGTTTAGTACACAAGACCCTCATCTCAAGTCCCAAAGGTAGGGAGCCTGGTTTGGCTGACCTCTGACCCCATGCCCCTAGGCCCCTCAAAGAGCTGGGCCCAGGGAGGGGAAGGCAGAGCCCAGAGCCTTGTATGATCTTTCTGAAGCCTCTGGCTACCCACCCAGGACCAGTTCTTAGCATCTCTCCCTCCTGCAGGATGAGAACATGGTGAGCTTCATCAAGGGCGGCATCAAAGTTCGAAACAGCTATCAGACCTACAAGTGAGTGGGGCTGGCCGGGGGGCCTGGGGCACAGCATCTGCTACTCTGTGCCCCTCGGGCTGCTTTGTGGGAGCTGGAGAACACCGGCTGGAGGCAGGAAGCCTAGAATATGGGCGACCTCAGGAGGCTTTCTGCACCCTCACAACCTCAGTTTTCTGGGATATTATTCCCCTGGTTTCCCTGGGTGTGCCTGTTGGTTCCCCTGAGTGCTTACTCTGTGCCTGACCTTGAACTTGCAGAACATAAGACACAAATTCTGCACAAACAGCTTGGGCTAGTGGGGGGAGGGGGAAGGCCACAGTCATTTTGGGAACAGCAGTGTAACTCCTACACACCTGTTAAGGCCCAGTCCAAATGCCGCTTTCCCCATGAAGCCTTCCTTGTCCTCTCCAGGGCAACAGGGTTGGTGTCCACACCCACCCCAAACCCCGGCTAAGATGGAAGCTTCCTGAGGGCCAGGTCATTTCTGTGCCACCTCAGCACTGGGCAAGGCATAGGCCATGTTTATGGATGAAAGAATGAAGACTTAACACAGCACTGTTACTTAACATCGTACCACACACGTCTATCATTCCAAAATCAAAAACACTCTGAAAGCTCATCTCCCTGCTCCCCCGCCCCCTCTACCCATTTGGCATTAAAAAATCACTTTCCATTAAAAGTCGACTTGAATTGACTTGAGGCTATTTATCATCTCTATTTCCCTCATTTAATGTGACGATTTCCCTCCAGAGCTAGTTTGAGTTTGATTGCAAGGTATTGCTGGTGTAACACACCGTGTGGGGTGCGGGCCCCGCACGCTCCGTGGGCCTGTGCTGGGACTGTGCGAGGGGACCCCGCAAGCGTTCCGGCTCCTCCAGCCTCCCCACCGATGCGATGTTTCCGAAGTACAAACCTCGTCAGGTTGTCCTCCGCCACGTCCCAAAGCCCTTCTTGCCAAGTCATTCCCGAGAGCCCCCGGCCCTCCTCACCACATCTCCCACCTGCACGCCGCTTCAGACGTTCAGGCACTCCCTCAATTCTTCAGACGCGCCAAGTTCCTTCCTACCTCACGGACTTGGGACGTGTTGTCCTCTTTTGCCAGGAACATTCTTTCTCTTTCAGGCTCATCCCTCCTCATCCCTTAGTTTTCAGCTCAAATGTCAGCCCCTCCAGGGAGCCTTCCCTGAACCCCAGACTCGGTCAGGCCCCGATGTTCTCCTCTGAGGCCTTCCTTACCTTCACAGCTGACTCGATGAGGGTCTGTCCTCTGGAGAGGGAGGCTTGTGAGGGCAGCTGGTTGGTGGCTTTGCCCCCTGCTGTCCTTCAGTGTCTGGCAAGAGAGGCTGCAGTCAGTGTTTGCTGGTTAAAGGCCCGTGAGATGCTTGTGGCCGGGGAAGAAGGCACGCACATCTCTCAAGCGTCTGTCCTGTTCCAGGCAGGCTGGGATATGGGCTTCGTGGTGGGCAGGGGAAAGATGGTTGAATTCTAACCAGGAGACTTCCTGAAAGAGGGTGTGTTGGAGTTAGCCCAGTGGTTCTCACCTGGGAGTAATTTTGCCCCCCCTTCACCCCGTGAGACGTCTGGCAATGTCTGGAGATACTTTTGTTGTCACAACTGGCATCTAGCGGGTGGAGGCCAGGGATGCTGCTGAACATCCTATGATGCACAATCCCCCAAAAAGGATTATCAAGCCTAACATGTCGTAGGGCTGAGTTTGAGAGAATGTTTTAGACAAAATGCAGAACACAAGCAAATGCCTAGATGTTGGACAAAGCAGGTTCCCTATGGTTGGTGTGGCTGAAATCTACAGACAAGGAGTACGCTACTATAGTGGGAGATGTGGTTGGAAACTCCTTGAATATGAGCTTTTCAGCTTGCCAGAACTGATATAATCTACCACCAGTAAGTTCTAAGATCAGCTGGGAATAAGGACAACAGTAGGCCTAGCTGGAATGAGACCCAGCCCCAACTACGTGACTTTGCTTCCTTCTGCAGGGAGCTGGACAGCCTCGTGCAGTCCTCACAGTACTGCAAGGGAGAGAGCCACAGGCACTTCGTAGGAGGCGTGAAGCTCGGTATGGGCGCCTTCAACCTGGTGAGTGGGAGTGTCCCTCCCCATGTCCAACTGCCTGGGCTCAAGATTAACCTCCCCTGCACATTCCAGCCGCACGCGTGCTGTTTGCCGGGCTCCTGTGCTGGGCCCTGTGCTGTGCCCTGTGCCGGGCCTGGGACCCAGTGATAAGCAGATATGTTGCAACCTGGGGGGCTCACAGATAGGGTGCGGGTGGGGGTGGGTGCTGGACCTGGTTCCAGAGTCCCTTCTGTGCATTTCTTCTCAGGTCAAGTCGAAAGTTTGAAATCTACCACAGTGGCAGTATTTATAGCACCAAAAATGGACAAACGATAAATCAGGGCCTTTTCAGCCCGGGTAGCTGGTGGTTCAACATTGACCAGTGGCAGGAAGGAGAGAGGCCCGGAAATAGCTGGTGGCCCTCAGGGACTAGGGAGCCAAACTCCTTCCTGGAGGGGGTCGTATTTGAGCTGGATCTTGGATGACCCATGGGTGGGGGAAGTTGTCCAGGCAGGGAGGGCACACTTGGCAGAAGGAACCGTGTGGGGCGAGGCAGGGAGGCTCAGGAGAGCCGTGCCTACTCCTGGGAGGAACTGCTCCCGGAAAATGTAGGCTTCCGGCCTGGGGACCCTTCTAACAGAGAGAGAGAGAGAGAGAGAGAGAGAGAGAGAGAGAGAGAGAGAGAGAGTGTGTGTGTGTGTGTGTGTGTGTGTGTGTGTGTGAGAGAGAGAGAGACAGAGACAGAATAGGCGTGGGAGCTGCTCTCTCCACTTCAGACAAAGCGTGTTCCAAGAGCAGGCCTTGGGCGGGGGGATCCCTGCCTGACTCTGAGTTCATTTTCTTGTATGTAAAGTGGGAGCAGTGATCCTAGGCTGAGAGCTGAGCAGTACAAGCTGCAAAGTGCCCTGGGTGCACGTAATAGCTGGACTATCCTGGGTTCAAGGACTGGCTCTGCCTCTGATGAGCTCTGGGGCCTCGGACATGCCCTGTCACTGACCTCTGCCTCTGTTTCCCCATCTGTCAAAAGGGGCAGCAATCCCTTCTGTGCAGGACTGTTCTAAGGATCAAATGCAATGACAGAGCCCCTGGGTCCAAGCAGGGATTCAGTGTAATAACCACCGCCATAGCTAATTATTATGTGCAGGCCCTCCTTTATGCATTTTACACATATTAATTGGATCTATCTGCACGTACCCCTATGAGGTAGGGGCTATTATGATTTCCATTTAATAGATGAGGAAACTAAGGCATAGAGAGGATGTGTAACTGGTCCAACATGACACAGCTGAAGCGGTGAGATAGGATTTGGACGCAGCCTGCTCCTGTCATGCTATCATACTTCTCTGTCCGGGGAAGCTGGCTTTCCCGGGAACCCAGGGGCATTGCAGACACAGGGCCTGCGCCCCTAGTGTGCCCACCTGCACCCCTCCATGTGCCCACCTGCTTCTGTTCCTGCAGACGCTGTCCATGCTTCCTACTAGGATCCTACGGCTGCTGGAGTTTGTGGGATTTTCAGGAAACAAGGTAACTACCTGCTTTCTGGGACCCACCCAGCCCCAGGGCTGGAGCTCGGCTGGACGCAGTGGGGCTGAGGGGCCGCAGGGCCTAGGTGCCAGCTCTGGCTCAGCCCCCTCAGTGTGTGGCCCTGGCCAAGGCCCAAACCTCTCTGGGCCTCAGTCTACCCTCCAGTCAAGTGAGGCCGGTGATCCCTGCCTGGTCCCTCACAGGATGATGGCTCTGGGGCTGGGGTGGCTGTGAAAGGCAGCTCTGTGCAGGGGCCTGGGGGCATGTTCTCTGGGCTTCACAGGTGTCAGGAACTTGGTTCTTCTCCCCTCAGAAGACCTAGAATAAGTCCCTTCCCCTGGGACCATCTTCTGGTCTGGGACATGCCCAAGGGAAGCTCTACTGTGCATCAGGCCTTGAGGCAGAAACCAGAATCACTTTCCTAGGCTTTGCTGAGTGCGGCGACCTGAGTACCAGGCAGCAGATCAAGGAAGGCTCCCTGGTGGAGGAGGCCTGGTGTGATGGAAGGAGCATTGGCCTAGAAGGCACGCCCTTCTCCCTGTAACTCTGAGCCTCTTTTCAGTAAAACATGGGGCTTTTTAATTTTTTTTTTAAAACTAGATCATTGTTTCTCAAACCTGAACTTTCTCTGGCCCTTGCTGATTTTTGCCATGTCCACAGACTTCTGTATTATTATTACTTACATATTATTTTTCTCAAAAGTGGCTTGTGATTTTTACTTAAATTGATTTAAAGTAAATATACTACACAGAATCCCTATATGATTTGGCACGATAAGAGCATAATCATAAAGATAAACACTAAGAGGCCCGAACAATCTTACGGAGGCCCAGCTAGGTTGTGTGGTCTGCCAAGGCTGTGCGAGGAAGGGTGTTCTGAGTGAGAGCTATGTGGAGCACACCCCAGCACAGGCCCTAGGTTCTCCTGGATGCTGTCAGACAGACAGGCAGGCAGGCAGACAGGCAGACACCGGAGAAGGGGAGACTCTCACGTGGGACACTCTGCTTCCTCACCTGCTCACGTACTTCTGACATCTTGGTTGCCACCTGTGGTCCATGGTCCAGGCGGGGAAACACTGACTGGGGGCTCTGAAGGTCCCTTTCTGTTCTGTTTTCTTAGGAAGGCCTTTGGCTCATTCAGGATGATGATGGGAGGGAAGAGCATGAGAAAGTCCAAGAGGTGGGACAGTGTGGCCGCCTGGCCAGGAAGAGAGGGTGACCAGGCCAGGATGGAGAGACCCCCAGCACAGCTCCAGCTCTGTCTTTGTCCTGAAAGCCCGGGAGCCATGGAGGGTTTGAGGCAGGGGGAGGCAGTCAGATTTGTATATCACAAAGAATAAGAACACCCCGGAGGACCGACTGCAGAACGGCAGAGACTGCAGACAGGGATACGAGTGGGGTCTGGCCTCTTGCTCCTTCCCAGTCGGGCTCTGGAACCTTCTCCAGAAAGCCTTCCCAGACCACAGTCCTTGCCTGGAGCCTGTGCCCGGGGCCTGCCATTAGGATTATCTTCCTTCTTGTCATTCCTCTTCCCCTTATCGGACCTGGGGCTGCTCAGGGCCTCGGCACCCACCACAGGCCAAGCAGGTGAACAAAGGGAGGAGTGGGCGAGGGGCTGCTGAGGTGGCGGCCTTGGCAGCCGCGCCAGGAAGGCTGCTTACAGTCTGGGGGGCGCAGCCCCTTGTCCAGCGGTGCACGGCCTGGGAGCAGCTGACCCGGCCTCCTGGGCCTCGTGTTCTCCCCCTCCCCCAGCTCCAGCAGCGGCCCTCACAGCAGTCCAGTGACCCCTGGGCCCCTGTCCTTCCTTGGGTCCCAGGGTGGGCCCTGGGGAGCCTGGGCCCTGCTGGCTTCAGCCTGTCTCCTTGTCCCCAGGACTATGGGCTGCTGCAGCTGAAGGAGGGCGCCTCGGGGCACAGCTTCCGGGCTGTGCTCTGTGTCATGCTGCTGCTGTGCTACCACACCTTCCTCACCTTCGTGCTCGGTAGGAGGGCCCTTGGGGCCAGTGCAGGGGGCCTCTGGGGTGTGGCTGGCTCTAAGGGTAGGGGTCAAGCGGGTGAAGGGCTACACACCCTGATCGGACCCCCAAGACTGGGGATGGGGCACCAAAACCACAAACAGCAGCTACATCAACTGTCCCGGGGCCTGGCCCCTGCCCACTCTTTTCCCCATAGTTTGACGGGGTTCCAGCCTCTGTATTATCATCTGTGAAATGGGGATGCTCATGCCCGCCTTGCAGTGGGCGTGGGGACACTGTAGGCTGCTCCTCGGGGTTCTGGGCACAGCCTCCGTGGACCCTGATTCTTGGTTATTGAGACCTGTGATGTGCTAGCGGTGACATCTGCACTGCCATCTTTAATCCTCCCATCACTCTAGAGAGAGAAGAATATTATCCCCATTTCACAGAGGGGAAAATAGAGGCTGGTAGAGATCACGGGAGCCAGTGGTGGTGACTGACATGTGTTGTACCCCTACCTCCTTCAGGCACTGGGAACGTCAACATTGAGGAGGCAGAGAGGCTCTTGAAGCCCTACCTGAAGCAATATCCTAAGGTGAGCTCCACCTCCTGCCAGATACCCCAGCCGACGCGTGCCCCATGGGCCCACCCGGACCGACATGTATGTATGTGTTTGCAGGGCGCCATCTTCCTGTTCTTTGCGGGGCGGATTGAAGCCATTAAAGGCAATGTTGACGCAGTGAGTATTGGGGTCCAGGCTGGTGTGAGGACGCCTCGGGGGATCCCAGGCCAGCAGGCAGTCAGACCCACAGAGATAATACCCTCCGGGCCAGGGCATGCTGGGAGCTGGCCCCAAGGGAGGACCAACCAGCGAGCAGGCGGGGGAGAGGCACTTCCAAGGCAGTCTGGAAGCCGAGGGAGGAGGCGGCATTTGTGGAGCAGCATTTTGACAGGGAGACTAGGACCTCAGCATTCCTGGAGGGGGAGGTGCTTGAGTAAGGCAGCGACACCAGAAGACAGAAGACGCACTTATTGGCACTTGTTTGGAGCACGGTGGTAGGCAGGGACCTAGTGAGTGCTGGGGAGCCTGGTGCTGGGGGGAAGACGCTGCAGGTGGGAAGGAGCCACCGAAGGGGCTAAAGATGGGAGGTCACAGTCCTGGCTGAGACCCCAGCTCCAAGCCAAGGCCCGGGATGGACTCTGCAATGTGGAGTTCGGGGGTCTCCGCTGGCTCTGGCTGTGATTCCTCAGGCATCAGGATGGATGCCCCCTCCCCCGCCCCCCGTCCAGGTCACTTCATAGGAGCTTCAGAAACCTTTGGACTTGGCTCTGCGGCACAGGCATTATTATATCACTTTAATATGAACACTGTCCACTGCCTGTTATCCCTCTATTATAGCTCCATCCTATCCTTTTGCTTTGTGACTTGATGATTAGAGCCCCAGAAAGGGGCAGTAACTGGGTCTGAGGTCATGTAAGATGGGGGAATGATCAGGACTGGAGGCCAGTCTCCTGGCATGGGCTGGACCACCTTGTTCCGGGGAGGCTGGGCCTACGGTGAAGTCAGGTGGGTGCAGAGTGGAGTAGGTGTGGGCCGGGGGCTCCCGCCGCCGAGACTGACCAGCCAGTGCCCCACAGGCCATCCGGCGGTTTGAGGAGTGTTGCGAGGCCCAGCAGCACTGGAAGCAGTTTCACCACATGTGCTACTGGGAGCTGATGTGGTGCTTCACCTACAAGGGCCAGTGGAAGATGGCCTACTTCTACGCCGACCTGCTCAGCAAGGAGAACTCCTGGTCCAAGGTGGGCTCATACCTAGGGCTGGGGGACATTGCGGGACCAGGCCAACCCAGATGAGCCACGTGTCCCTAGATCAAGGGCTAAATCCCTGATTGAACACAGATGTCTCAGCTGGAACTTAAACAGAACCCTAACTTCTAATAAGACTTAGGGCTGGAAGGAACTAAAGACCATGAGGAACAGAGAGACTTCAGAACTACAATGTGTGTCGAGATTTTTAATCACAAGGGACAGAAACATGGCTTACACTGTTCTAGGTGAGTGCTGGCCAGTAGAACCTTCTGTTATGGTGGAAATGTTCTGTTCCTGCACCATCCACTGTGGGAGCCACCAGCCCCATGTACACACTGAGCGCTTGGAATATTCCCAGGGCAACGGGGAAACTGGGTGTTTTTAATTTTATTTATTTTTAATTGAAGTTTAAATTTAGAAGTCACAAGGGTTAGTGGCAACTGTATTGGACTATGTGGGTCTAAAACACACAAGGCTCATTAATTCATACAACAAAGAATTCTAGGCAATATGACTTCAGGTACGGTTGGATCCAGGGATTGAAATTATTTCATTTGGGCTTGCTTTCTCCATCTGTGGCTCTGCTCTGCTCTATGACACCTTTGTTGTGCAGGCAGGTTCTCTCCATGTGATAGGCAGGGTGGCCATGGGCTGCCTGCCCCAAACTCACATCTTCCCTTTGGTTTCCACCGTGGCCCCCCAGTTGAGCCCTGTTGGTCTGGCATAGATTGCAGGTCAATGCCTGGAAACAGAGGGATGGGAAGGCTGAGGAATGGGGAGTAGAAGAGGGGTGATTGCCCAGAAGAAAACTGAGGTGATATCCCCAAAAGCAGCACTGGGGGGCATTAAAGAAATGCCATGTAGGCAAAACAAAGCAAAACAGGTGCCCACTATAGGCGAAAACTTATACCACCAAGGTACGTGTCAAAGTCAGCATGAGCCATTATCATCATGGTAATGATAGCACAAAATTCTGAACAAAGAGCTTTAGGATAATTTAGATCATCAGAGAGCATCTAATCTGCTATTGGCAACTATATATCAGTGTGTCTCAATGACTTTGAATTCCCGTTTCTCATTCCTCCCTGCCTCTGTGTGGAAGTCCTTTTCCAGGAGCCCCGCCCAGGAACCAAGCTCAAAGGGAGTTCTCTAGGTCTGGGCAGCAGGGTGGGGGAAGGGCAGCCTCCCACTGAGCTCTCACTGCGGGCCCAGCACTTGCCATTCCCTCCACACCACATCCGACAAGGCAGAGGTTCTCTCCATTGGGCACACAAGGGCCACTGAGGCTAAGGGAAGGTAGGTGACTTTCTTCGCCCACATAGCTCTTGGTGCCGACACTGGATGTGAAGACAGCTCTGTGTGACTCAAAGGCCCCTGCTTTTGCCAGCTTGCTCTGAGGCCACCTAGCTGTTAAAGGTGCTTCCTCAGGCCCAGCTCCTGTGGGCCTGGCATTCATGCTTCATCACTTCCCACTCCCAGTAAGAGCACAGGCTTCGGGAACCTTTTTGAACCAGTGGCCCAGAAGCCTTCCTGTGGAGTGGCCGGGCAGCTGGGTCCACCTACATGAGCGAGGAGAGGTGTCGGGGTGCACACAGCTGCTCTGAGGAGCAGGGGCAGAAGTCTGGCTCAGCTCAGTCTCCAGCTGTGTGACTTTGGGGTGGTCAACCTCGCTCTGTCCAGCGCTTTCCTCAGAAGGGTTTCCTGTGAAAGTGGGGGTTGTAGCACCCTGAGTTCTGGGGCTCATTTATTCCTATTCTCCAGTCCTTGGCCACCACAGAGTCCACCCACTTTCAGCTCAAGGGACTTGAGCCACAGAGTCCACCCACTTTCAGCTCAAGGGACTTGGCCTGTGGCTGTGGCATCTCTCTCCGCCTGGACTGCACATCCCTGTGGAGCCTTCATGTTCCCCTCAGCTTGAGATGGCTAGAATCTAGGTGGTAACAGTCATGTGTTCAGCGCTGTAATGAGGGAAACTAAGGAGAGCTGAGAGGCAGCGCTGGGCAGCCCAGCCAAGAAGACGAGGGAGGCTTCTGGAAGAGGAGAATCTGAGCTGAGTTTTGGAGGAGGAGGAATTCGGGTGGAGAGTGGAGGAAGTGAAAAGGACACCCCAAGCCAAAAGAACAGCAAGGTCAAAGGCTTGAAAGCCAGGGTGCTGCTAAGAAGTTCTGTGTTGCCAGGTGAAGGGTTGTGGGTAGAGGTGCAAGGGGACTATGGGAAACCGTCCCCATTAGGTCACTTGCTGTAGTTTCTTGAGGACAAGGACTATCTGACTGCACATACCCTGGTAGAGTAATCCAGAAAAATGTGTGGAATCAATGGTCAAACAGTCAGGTACCCTGGGGAGACAGGAATGCCATCAGAGGAGAAGGCTGCTGTTTTCCAGCAATGCGGCCCCATAAAATCCCTTGGCAGCTTGGTGTCCGTGGGTGTCACAACTCTAGGTCACTGCATCCTCCCTTCCCCTTGGAGACTCAGGGGGATGAGCTGTCCAGGGGGGAGTAGGAGAAAGTTCTTAGAGGAAGCCATTGGATTGGTAAGCCTTGCAGAGAAGGAACAGTGAGACCCTAGGCAGAGGAAAGGCACAGGCAAAGGCTGGGGGTAAGTTTAAGGAAAGATGGAGGAATAATTGGCAGAAGAGAAGCCAGAAAAGCAGGTCACAGGGCCCTGAGTGGCTGGTTTGGGCTTCAGTCTGACAGGGAAGGAGCCCTTGATGCTTGCGCCTTAGATGCGGGCTTTAAGCAATCTCTCCTGCAGTTCCTGGGCACCCCTACCTGAAGCCGAGTGCCTTTGATGTATTCTGGGAAGGGCCCAGAGGCCAGCGTGGTTAGGGTGGTGTGGGGGAAGGGAGGGGGAAACAGTGGGAGATGAAATTGAGAGGAAGCCAGGGGAGACTGGATAGGGTCTCGCAGGCCATGAGAGGGGGTTTGGATTTTATTGTAAGTGTGTGGGATATCATGAGAACATTTCAAGGACAAACTGATGTAATGTGACTTGAAAAGGCCTGCCTGGCGTGGTGTGCAGGGGACAGGAGTGGGAGCAGGAAGATCGGTTGGGAGGCCATATAATCGAGGGCAAAGAAAGACATCCCTGGTGGCCTGGAGCAGGGAGCTGGTGTACAGGCTGGTGCAGTAGCTGAGGTGAGCCGTCCGGTCAGCGGGAATCAAGAACTAGATAGGAAGTAAAACCATGAGGACTTAGTGACTCAGTGCCAGGGCGGGGACGAGGGGGAAGGCAAGGGTGACACCAGGAAGTTAAAGATGGGATGGGGAACGGGTTTTAGCAAGGGGAGATTTTTCCCGCCACACCCCACAAAACCCAGCTTTTCCTCATTTTGTGAAGGGCAGACTGAGGTACTGAGGGCAGAGAACCGGGAGTAGCCCTGAGCTTCAGCATGGGTGGGGCTGCCAGGTGGAGGCTGCTGTCCATCTTCTCCAGAGAGGAGACTCCAGGATGTCCTGCTTCCTTTCTTCCTCCACCCACTCACTGCACTTCTTTCTGAGCTAATGGCAGTAGGTAGCCGCAGCCGTCCCAGGTGGCAGGTGCTGTGGTTCAAGGCTCCGCCACTGGAGGGCAGCGCAAAGCCAGGCTCCTCCGGCCTTGGATTTTTAAGGGGAAGGGGAGCCGCGTTTAGGATGGCTCTCTGGGGGGAGGAAGGCGGTTCTGCACAGCTACACCTTCCTTCCCTGTGGACAAGGCCCTTAAAGCCACACAAATCTGGCGTCGCTCCCAGCTCTGCCCCCCAGCAGCGCTGAAGACCTAGGAAGCATAAGGTGTGTCCAGATTCCTTTCTGGCATCGTCTTCGGGATCAAGTGAGGTGATATATGTAAAGTGTCCACCACATTACGAGTAAGGCAGTGTCCCCAAAGGATTCTGAGCTGAGCCCTACCCCAGGGCCATGCTCACTCTTCTGGCCTCACACCTCTTCTTTTATGCATCCCATACTTTATGCTACCTATTTGTATCTTTATTATACCCGGGCTCTGCTCAGGCTGTTCCGCTTGCCAGGAAGGTCCATTCTCTGGGTTCCTGTGAATCTCCCTGTTGGCCTTCAAGGGTCCAGTCTGAAGTGACTGCTTCCCAGAAGCCCTTGCTGCCCTACCTTCATGTCTCCATCCCAGCCTCAGCACCACCTGTGCATCCACTAGTTGCTGGAGTTTTCTTCTCTGCTGCTTCACAGTGGAGAGGGTGGCAGCTGCTTTGACGTGGGCCCGTCCTGGATTTAACTCTCAGCTCAAGTCCTCAAGTTGCTTCAGTTCCCCCAGTTTCTCCCCTGGGGCCTGGGGGTAATGTTAGCTACTAAATGAGGTATTTGCACCAAATGAGGTCCAAATGAGTTGCCACAGGAGTTGTGGCCTCCTCAGCTGTTTCCAAGGGCAGAGTAAGACATGGTATGCAGCGCGGCGAGCCTGCACAGCTGGGGCCTCACCCACGCAGCCTGCAGCTGTGATCAGAAGGTTGGTTCCTCACACCTGACTCTTGCTGTGCCTCTCACAGGCTACCTACATCTACATGAAGGCTGCCTACCTCAGCATGTTTGGAAAGGACGACTACAAGCCATTTGGGGATGACGAAGTGGAGTTGTTTAGGTGAGCCCTACCACGGCACCCGCTTTGGAGGCCCCAGCCAGGCTCTATCCAGGGCACCAGGGAGGAGGTGCTGGGGTTGTCATCGCCCCCGGCCCTGAGCTCCCTGGCTCTCCCCAAGGATCGCCCCACATGCCCGTCATTCCCTTCCATCACCGCCTTCTCCAGCTGCTGCTTTTAGAACCTTTTCAATCTGTTTAGAGGCTTTCTTTCACCAGAGTGGTTTTGTCAACATCCTTTCTTCTGGGCCTCTTTCATCAGGTCAGTAGGACAGATGTGGACACTGAGGTCCAGCGAGGTCCCTTCTGATGGATTAACCTGATACACTCAGGGAAGCACAGCAGAGAGCCAAAAAGTCCAACAGGATTAAATCCAGACTGCCATTTCTTAGCTCTGTTACCTTGGACAATTTCAGCATCTGTTAAATGGGAATAACCTCTGCCTTGCAGTGTTGTTCTGCGAATCAGATAGAGGATATATTTATAGAGCCTGGAACCACTAAACCATGGCTGTTTTTATTCGTATCTGTAAGGCCTGTCTTGTTCATCTTTGCAAAGGCCCTAGAGCAGGGCTCAGCCTTGGCAGGTGGAGAGTGGAGCCTTGGGCCTTCCTCCAGCTGTGGTGAGGGTTGGTCTTGGGGTGGGGGCAACCTGAGCTCCTGAGCTCCACGGGCAACCAATGTCCTAGTCATAGGGCGTTTACCGTTTACTGAGTGCCTCAGTTTCTCCATCTCATGTAACTCTCCAGACAGGCTCTAAGGGTAAGTATCTGTGGGGGAAGAAGAAAATTTTCCCAGGTTTTTGGCTGAGCCCACCCCCACCCCATAGTTAAAAGACAGATTAACAAGAGAAAAAGAAGTTTATTAACATGTATGCCTCCTGCATAGATGGGAGATAGCCAGGAAAACTGGCCCAAGCCATCGCCTTAAACACCATCTTCAACTCAAGACAAAAAATGGGTGGGGAGCCAGCTTTCAAAGCACAGCAAAGGAGCTGATGGTTGTTATAAGAGTTCCTAGAGATTTAGTCACCCTCCCATTCCTGTTACAGAGAGGGAGGTGCCTGTACATATGGGATTTCCCTTGTAAATATCTCTCTCTGACAAAAGGTAACTTCTAGGTTTTCAGTTTTCCTGTGTCTGCTATTTCTTAAAAATAACCTGCCTAAAATAATCTTTGTGCCGAGGAGGTATGTTGCAGGGTAACAGATTCTGCTCCCTTTCATATTATTATCTCCATTTTAGAAATGAGAAAACAGGCCCAGAGAGGTTCCACAGTAAATAAGCAGGGGAGGTGTCCAGTGGGGGGGACCTCACAACAAGGTCCAGCTGTTTCCTGCACTTGGGTGGCTCAGGTTTGAGGGTCACGGCCACACCCTGTGAATGTGGCAGACATCGGCGGGTAGGATGGAGCTGGGTGGGTGAGGCCCCAGCTGTGCAGGCTCGCCGAGCTGCATACCACATTTTACTCTGCCCTTGGAAACAGCTGAGGAGGCCCCAACTCCCCCAGCAAGAGTTAATTAAAGGTTCGAGCTGTGAGGTCTTGGGCAGGTCCCTCACTTTCTCCGGGTGCTCATCCCTTGTGAAATGGGGTCAGGCTTCCACTGGGCTCTCCAGAAACAGGGTCTGGGAGCAGAGGAGAGACGGCTAGAAGGCAGAGCAGGCCTGGGCTGTTGGTATGTATTCTCATTTCTGCCAGTGGGTGAGGAGGAACCCCTTGCCTAGCCACAGGAAGTGGCCGAGTCTTGAGACAGGGCCTGTGAAATAAGGCCATTATGAATCCCACACTGTTGTCGTATAGATGAGGAAACTGAAGCCCAGTGAGGTGCCAAGCAGACACTGGGCAGTGTGGGGACTCTCAGTTCTCTCCTGCTTTTTCTCACCCTGCCTCCCCTGCCTCCCCCCATCTCTTGCAGAGCCGTGCCAGGCCTGAAACTCAAGATTGCTGGGAAATCTTTACCCACGGAGAAGTTTGCCATCCGGAAGTCCAGGCGATACCTCTCTCCCAAACCTATTTCTTTGCCAATTCCTGCTCTGGTGGGTAGGAGGGTCTTGACTGGCTCTGCACTCCAGCTTGGAATTTTAGGGATTAGCTGAGAGCCAGGGATACAGCCATGGACCCAGGGGAAGTGGGAGGTGGGTGAGGGAGAAAGACCTTCATGCCTCAAGGGCCTGGAGAGGATTTCACAATTCACCTGGGATGGGGGGGGAGGGCGGTTGGGAGACAGAGGAGCCGGCTTCAAACACCTCATGGCAGAAAGGATGGCCCTCCTAGACAGCTCCACACACCTGTCCCGAGGCAGAGGCATTGCTCAGCTGTTGTGTTCCTACCCTGATTGTTTCAGTCTTGTCACATGATTGTACTTGTTTACATAGTTCCTGTCACTGGACCTAGCTTTTCTGAGGCCTGGGACCCTGTGATATTCCACTCTGAAATAACAATAATAGCTGACATTGTTATTGGGCGCTCCCTGTGTTTAAGGTTCCTTACACCCCATTGCCTATGGCCTCATTTGATCCTCACAATAACCCTCTGCGTAGTTTCTGGTAGTAGTCCCATTTTACAGATAGGGATACAAAGTCCTAAAAGATAAGTGATAAAAGTAGGAAGATGTCTAGTAAGTGGCTAAAATATAAGTAGAAAGATAAAATACTTTGTCCAGGTCACACAGCTAGTGAGTTAGAGAGTCAGAATTTGAACTCACATAGTCTGGTTCCAGAGATGTATTCTGAACAACCATTATGATGCTTATTCCATGCATGATTTTAGCAGACATTAGAGAAGGTTTCAGTTTGTCAGGAATCCTTGTTGTTCAAATAGGAAGGCAGCCAGAAAGGGTCTTCAGAGACCTTTCATTGGTTCTGGTTCTACCATTCCCTAATTGTGTGACCTTAATGTAAAATAGGATAGTATATAACTTACCCATTTCATAGTGCGGTTATGAGAATCAGCTGATAAGATGCATAAGAAACTGTGTAAATCAAAAAGTTCGATATTTTAAAAAAATTTTGAGAGAGATTGTTGTTCCACTTATATACGCATTTGCTGGTTGCTTCTTGTATGTGCCCTGACTGGGGATTGAACCTGCAACCTTAGCGCACTGGGATGAGCAACCTGGCTAAGGCCAAAAAGTTCAATATTTACAGAATTTATTTAGAACTTGTATCCTGAATATCGCTAAACAAATTTTTAAATATTTTATAGTTTAAAATAAAGCTATTATCATAAAATTGGGGGCAATGCAAAAAAAAAAAAAAAGGGCAGGGGAAGTACCTATACAAAAAATTTAGGGGAGAACTTCCCAAACTATAATCTGAAAAATGTCATTTATGCATGAAATGATCTGTGACTAAATATATTGGGTGAGAGTGTTCTAAACAAATTATTTCCCCAATATTTAGAACCTTAGAAGGGCCTTTAGTTGCCCATTTTACAGATGGGGAAACTGAGGCCCCGTTGAGGAAACCTAAGACTGACTTGCTTCCCCTACCCTCAGGAAATGATGTACATTTGGAATGGCTACGCTGTAATTGGGAAGCAGCCGGAACTCACAGAGGGGATACTTGAGATCATCACCAAGGCTGAAGAGATGCTGGAAAAGGGGCCAGGTGACTAACGCTAGGCCCTTGAACCTGCCAGGCTGGGTCCAACCACAGGGCTTTCAGTTGACGCTTCCTCCACCAAAAATGACCTTCCTTACTTCTCTACCCTGGTAACTGACCTTTGCCTTTCTAGAGTGAGCTTCAAGGACAGCTCCTCCAAGAAGCTGTCCTTTGTCCCCCGGGGTAGAGTCAAGGCCTCCCATGGGCTCCCACAGCCCCCTGGGCTTCCTTCAGTCAGCCCTGGTTTCACTCTATTATCATCTCAGTATGTCTTTCCTTCCCAGCCTGAGTTCCCTAAGGACAGGGACCATGTGTGAATCACCTCTGTGTACCCAGGGCCCAGCAGAGTAGGGGCCCCAGAAATGAACAATCCTGTTTTCTTCTCACTGCCCTGTTCTCAGAGAACGAGTACTCGGTGGATGATGAGTGCTTAGTGAAGTTGCTAAAAGGCCTGTGTCTGAAATACCTGGGCCGCGTCCAGGAGGCAGAGGAGAATTTCAGGAGCATCACTGCCAAGTAAGTGCTTCTGTAGCTGCTTCCAATCCACATGGCCTACTGCTGGGCCTGGTTCTCTTGGGTGGAATTTCAGGCATATTTCTCCATGTGCACTTACCCCAGCGCATGGCCCTATCTTTATGCGGGTACTAGTGTCCACTCTGTGCCAGGTCTGCTCTGGGTACTGATCATTGAGGCCTCACCCCTCCAGGCCACCAGATTGCTCAACTACAGGAGCCCATCCACGCTGAGTTTCATGAGAACGGTGCCCCCTCTGAAGTTTGTAATTCACCAAATCTGCCCTTGCCCTTGGGGATCACAAATGTTACAGATAGGTAGCTACAGGCAACCCAGTCTGGAAGGATCAGGGCTATGCTAAAGGGAAGCAGAGAAGACAGCAGGTGTCCTGAGGACGACCCTAAACCTAATGCTCAGGATACCAGGAATGGCTTTCCAAAGATGCCATTTAAATTGTGAAGTTCTTCAGGCAAAGAAAGCAATGGAGGAGGGGTTTTAAGTGGAGTAGGTAGAGCATGTGCAAATGCTTGGGCACAGACACACCTGAGGCTGGAGGGACAGTGACTGGGCTTTCCCTGCCTGCGTGAAATTAGAGGGAAAGGGCTGCAGACGAAATGAGGGGCAGGAAGTTGGGGGGGAGGCCACACTGCAAAGGGCCTGGTTGTTTTGCTTCCAAGACTGAACTTTATCCTGCAGACAGAAAAGAGCCAGGGAAGATACCAGACAGGGCAGATGTGGGTCCTAAAAGGGTGTTCCTGGGGCAGCAGGGTGGGTGGGTCAGAGGGGCCAAGTTGGAGACAGGACACTTCTCAATAAGTCAACTTGGAAAAAGGGGGTTGTGGACTGTGGTGGGAGTGGGCTAAGGCTATGACAACAGCCAAAGGTTGTCAGGAAGTTGGGTCCCAGGTGCAGAGGCCTGGAACGCTCTGCTGTGGATCCTAAGCCTTTCTAGGGCTAGGTAGTGGGAACCTTCCCAAATTGTAATTCAGAGTTGGAAACTCCACCTGAGGACGAGTTGCATCCTCCCACTTGGGGGAGGCTCCGGAGAAGCCTGAAGGATGTCTCAAGGGCAGGGCCCGTAAGCCTTGTTCTCCTCTGTCTCACAGTGAAAAGAAGATTAAATATGACCACTACTTGATCCCAAATGCCCTGCTGGAGCTGGCCCTGCTGTTCATGGAGCAAGGCAGAAATGAAGAGGCTGTCAAACTCTTGGAAACTGCCAAGTAAGGCTGGATTAGCCTTGATGAGTCCTTTGCTCTCCATGAGCTCAGGAGCTTCACCTGGCTGGGGGCAGAGGAGCCCAGGCGTCAGTGAGGGAGGGTGAGGGCAACGCAGGATGGCAGTCCAGAGTCTGGACCTGCGTCCCTGGGAACCTAGTTCTTACCTACTGTGGAAAGGCTTCCTCCTCAACTTACCAGTGAGGACTTGGAAACCCAGAAGCAGGGAGGGAGTTACCCACGGTCTCACACAAGTCAGCCACAGGCCTCTGTGACACCTCAGGTCTCCTGCCTTCTAGCGCATAGAATCTACCTCTTGAAATCTCAAGGTTGGGGGACCCATCAGGACCAAGAGTGGCTCCTGAGGGCATGATATCGGGATGAGGAGCTACATGACCTTTCTGCTAATCCCTATCAGGCAGGACCAACTTTCTTTAGACAGAGACAGGGATTTAAGCCTTTGTAACTCTTCCTTGGCTGGTGGGCTCCCACAACTCGGACCAACTCAGACTGGAGCAGCCTGTGTCTGATTCTCTGGTTTCTTCCAGGCAAAACTACAAGAATTACTCCATGGAGTCAAGGACACATTTTCGAATCCAGGCAGCCACACTCCAAGCCAAGTCTTCTCTAGAGAATGGCAATAGATCCATGGTCTCATCGGTGTCCTTGTAGTTTTGTGCAGCACTCCCGAGCTGGAAGACAAACACCTGGACAGAGCTCCTGGAAACATTTCAAACTGATCCCCTCCCCCTGCCCTGCCTTCGGGGTCCACCGGTGCTCCAGTGAGACAGCACGACCTGAGTATCCGTGAAGAAGCCAAGCTGGCATTTTCACCAGTGTGTCCAAGGACAGAGCAGGTGGAGCCCTCTGCCTGCCCTATCACATATACGGGTACTTGTTTTTCACTGTGATGTTTAAGAGAATGTACGAACAGTTTACATTTTCCTTAGAAATACAATGGTGGGCTCTTAGTTGGCTTTTTTAAAAACCACCAACCAACCACCTGTATATCTTTGTGTTAACCCCCACTGACCTGGAGGAAAATCTGTATGATGCCAAAGGCGAAGCTGCTTTTCAAACTTTGGCAAGGTCTCAGCTTCCGGGGCCGGAAGGACCCTCAGGAGGGTCTGTACCTCAGGCTTCAAAACTTCTGGGGGTTGCACAAAGACACCCCCTATCTTACTCCTTACACTTGATTTTAACACCCTTTGTATCCTTCCAATTTAAAAAAAAAAAATCAAACGTCTTTTTAGTGAGATAATTTTCATTTGAGTCCATCTGTGGGGGGAAAAAATCAATCTCCACCAGGAAAGGATGGGGATGCTGAGGCTGGCAGGAGGGCAGCTGTGGGGCTCTTTCTATGCTGAGATGTTTGCGGGGGGGTGGGGGGTGGAGGCGGGGGATGGTTCTCAAACTGAAACCGCTGAAAGTAATTTATGAAATGTTCTGTACTTTACTCCAAGGTATGTTTATTTACAGACAGCATTTTTCTGGTTATTCTTGGCCTACTGTATATGTTTTAAAATTTTCAGTTGAGAGAAAATAGATATTTAAGTAATAAAACTTACATACTTAAAAGAGATTATGCAACATCTATTTCAGTAAAATATGTGTTGCTTGAATTCTTAGGGCAGAAAGTCTGGATCAGAAACCTGTTTTATTTAGATAATATGATATTCTAAAATTTTTAGAATTTACCAACATTTAAAAATGGGGAGATATCACAAATAAATCTGGTTTCCAGCCTCTTAGTCAAAAAAAGATCTGGCGACATTGGGCCTTATCACCGTAAGGCAACGATCAACTGGAGCTGAGTAAAGGTGTCTTTAAACACACTACCCTTCTGGTCCCTAAAATCACCTGCATTTGCAACCTCTGGGACTGTTAAAATGAGAACTCAAGTTCAGTGACCAGTTTTACCATTCAGAATCTCATGATAGCACGCTTCAATTTCACCATTTCCGTAGAAAACTCATGTACACAGTACAAATACTCATCTGTGAACATGTCACTCCTCAAATACATGCATGCAATTCCTGTAACGGAAGAATCACAGACAACTTTCCAATCTTCCAGCATTGCTGTATTTAGCAAACACTCTTGAACATCTGCCAGTGGCTGGGTGGGTTAATCTAACATACAGCTAGCCAGCTTCCTGTGACTGATACTGAATAGGTTTTAGGTACGGCATATTCTCATTAGGGGAAAAAAGCAAACTGTCAGAGCAGAAATGCGGTGAAATTTTTTTTCTCATTTTGTTAGAACTAGACAAAAGACTGCTCTCCATAGAGCAGCCCTCTACAAGCTCTGTCTCCTCCAAAGCTTGCGTGCCGGGAGACCAGCCTGCTTCTAGGTTGTTGGGCAGGGCAGGGGTGAGAAGGTGCCTACAGCCAGGATGCTGACAGGATGGCTTTCTGTGGTTTCCCCCACATAGTAGAACCTTCCCTACTGCTGTAGAAAAGCAGCACTGGACATAGGATAAAGAAAAAAAAAACCAAACAAACCCAACAGCTTTTGATTTCAACATTTACTTTAGGTGCTTTTGCTTGAATTTAAAAAATTTATGCCAGATGGTTTCCTTGTGTTTGTTGCTTTTCTTGCTGGGCTTCATTAATTAGCCTACATCACCTTCACCTCTGCTGCCCTGGCTGCAGTCTGGCTGATAAGAGAAATCAGTGGGCTTTGTCTCCTTTATCCCATCTGCAGCTTGAGATAGCTTATGAAAAACACGCATGTGAGGGAGGGTGGAGGCTGAACACGTTGGGTGTCTGACACCACTTATCCTTGTGCAGAGGCCTTTGAAGGTGAAATTCTGTTACGAGCTTCTTCCTGTGTCTGCTTTGAGCCATTTCTGGTTACTTTTCTTACAGATCTTTCCAGCACATCTGCCCTGGATAGGCAGCTGATCAGGTGGAGAGTTCTGGCCTAGAAATAAGGAGACTTCAATTCTAGTCCTTGCTTCGCTATTGTTTTTCAGGGTAACCTTGGAAAATTCACAGACCTTCTGAAAATTAACAACTGGGACTAGATTACACTCATTCCTGCTGTCAACAGTTCTCATTCCAACTCTGGTCAAGTCTGTTGGTGGGTGTTCATCGCCAACGTGAGGCAACAGATACAGAACTACTTTTTGCCAAAGCCTTGTGTTACCAATCTACTTAAACAGAAACAGTAGGCTTCCTCAGTCTGGGGCCTCAACAGGGGTCCGGGATGCCCAGAGAGCAAATAATCCTCATTTGGGGCAAGTCTAAATCCTCGGCCACACACAGGCACTCAGCTGTTAGGAAGTAGCAACTGTGTAACACGACCTGAACAGGCCCTTGACAACGGAAAGTCTACCTCTGCTTCTCACTGGTCACAGGCCCTTGGGGCTTTCAGCAGTGTGCCGGTCCCTATCAGTTCTCCCATGTGTTGGCAGGATTCCCTGTTCCTTATCTCTCAAGTCAGAACGGGAGTGTTTCCAAAACAGCTATGGTCATTCACAGCAAAAGCCATGACCTGACAGCAAAACCAGGGCCCTAAAAGGCCAACACCAATTCAAGACTTGGCTGAAGTCCAGGTGGGAGAGTCCCAGCAACTGAACAATAGCACCAGGAGGTTTTTAGAAAGCGCTAGTCTGTGAGTACTAGAATCACTCAACAAAGGAATAAAATCCAAAGACACTTTTCTCTGGAGTTACTCCCAAAATTATTTCTTCTAAAATGATGGGGGAATGGACAACTTACCCTTGTTTGCTTCAAAATTAAAGCTTCACAGTGTGCTTTTTCAATAACTGTTTCCTTATGTCCTTACCACCATTGCACTAATTCAGTAATAATGACAGGTGTCTGGATTCCAAAAACCATGCAGCAAATGGGAATTTCTCACTCCTCATCCCAACACAGTTTCCAATGTTGGAAAGTGCCTTTCTGCTCAGGTTAGCACAGCTCCTGGGAAAGCTGGTGCAAAGCTTGTGACTGCCCATCAGGGTAAGTCCACAACAAGGAGCCTCATTTGGGGGCTTGAAAAATTGATTTCTAAATTAGCAATCTATGAATTGCCCCCACTGTATAAAGTCAACTGTCAAATGATAAAATGTAATCGAGCCCTTCCTTTGTGAAGACATACAATTATTGAAGGTCACAATGGACTTCTAAAAGTTGACATTCAAGTTTAACCAGACATGTCACAGCTAATACCTCACAAATGACTGGACTGGGCTGTCTTGTTTTTCTTCACATCTTTAACAAACACTTCTGAACACCAGACACTGTTTGTTCTGGATGGGAAAAATTAGCTAACATCAAGTGCTCATTATTTACCAGTTGCTCTTCTGAATGCTTTACATAGTTCTAATTCTCATAACCACATTTTGAAGGAGGAGCTATTATTGCCATTTTACAGAGGAGAAAACTCAGGTTAAATAATTTGCCTAAGATCACACAGTTACTACGCAGCATAACAATCTGAAGCAAAGTAATTGAACTCTAAAGCCCATGCTCTGTTAAACTGTTGGTCGAGCTTAAAATGACCAGTTTAAAGTTGGATCTGGCTTACAGTGACTTGGGCCACTGTTAAGGTGGCAGCTAAAAACTCAAACACTAGAAATCCTTGGCTTGGAACACACCTAGAGAATATATGTCTGTGGGGGAGTTTCCCCAGGCCACTTGGCTTCATGAGGTGGGGATAGGCTCTAGCTTGGACGAAGTCAGAAATAAAAGGCAACCCTTAACCAACAGTATTTGCTACTCTAGAGATAAGAAGTGAAGCCTGAACAGATGCAGAGGCTCAGGCCTGGACTCAGGCTTGGAGGGGTAGCAAACCATGTGCTAGAGGAGATTTGGTATAAGACAGTTAAAGGCAGGAATGTTTGACAACTGGGAAGCACATGCTAAAGGCACTCAATTTTTAAGTTTGGCTGGCCGGCCAAACACAACACATGTGTGGGTCAAAGTAGTCCTTGAGCCACAGATCTGTCACCCTGGACTGGAGCTTTCAGATAACTGTCTATGAAAGAGCTTGTGAGCAAAGTCACAGTAAGAGAAAAGCCAGCTCTCCTAAAAATACCAATGCTAGATTCTATTAATTACATGGGGTAGTGGGGAAAAAAGCAGAGACTGAATTCAAACTTGGATTATTTCACTGCTTTGAGAATCAGTCTTTACTTCCACAAAATGAGGCTAATGCCAACTGCTTCACAGAATTGCTAAGAATAAAGAGAATCATGATGGGGTGGCATGGGTGGAGGAGGGCAAAGGGGGAGAATTGAGACAACCGTAATAAACATGATTAAAAAAAAAAAGTTGATAAAAAAATCATGCAAATATCCTAGCATAGCTCTCAGTATATTAAGGTGGTAAATTTATTGGGCCTCATATACTGTGGGAAGGCAGCGGTGGGGCTGGCCTTGGGAATGACTGAATCAAGGGCTCTAGTGCTTCCCCATCTCTTGGCTTTGCCCCTGTGTTAGATGGGGTGCTGGGCAGACAAACACAACATGTATCCACTCTATGTCTTTTTTTTTTTCCAAATTTCATATACAGGAACTATGGCTTGCTACATTCCAAGGTGAAGGGAAAGATGCAGACAGAAGGTTCAATCTGTGGTACTGGTTTATGACAAGAATTACCAGAAAGTTGCCTTTGCCCTTCTTGCCACCCTCAAAAATCCTGATTATAAGATCCCTATTTTCCCATGGGAACTTCCTTGATGATGGCTCCATCTCCCCCAGAATTGCTCAGATTCCTTAGGGCCTGTCTTCTACCTCATTCTCCTTACCTTCACTTAATAAATACTGACACCCAATTGTTTT